ATAGGGCGCGCCCGCCGCCTCGCCCGAGGGAGCGCCACCCGCGGGCGCCCGCGCCGCCCGCGCCGCCCGCGCCGCCCGGGCCGCCCGCGCCGCCCGCGCCGCCCGCGCCGCCCGCGCACGCCCGCGACGACCGCGCCGTCCGCCGCCGCCTCGGGCTGTCTCGAAGTCACCTCCACAACGTGCTGCCGGAAGGCGGCGACGCACGCGGCGTGGCCCTGCTTCTTGGCCAGCTGCAGCGCGGACTTGCCGTCCGTAGTGCGCAACTTCGTATCCGCGCCCGCCCGTAGCAAGCGGAGCACGACGGCGGGGTGGCCGTTGCGGGCGGCGAACACCAGCGCAGTCTGCTTAGTGCTGTTCTGCTTGTTGACCTCCGCGCCACGCTGGATCAGCAAGTCGACTACCCGCTCCTGGCCGCTGCGGGCGGCGAACATCAGCGCGGTGACGCCGCTCACACCGCCTTTCCTGCAAGTCGCGTTGACCTTCCCGCCGCTGTCGAGCCACGCCAGCAGCGCCGCCTCCTCGCCTCGCCCAGCCGCTTGAAATGCCGCTTCGGGAAGGCTGTCGGTCTCCGGCACGATCGTTGCTAGCGCCATTGGCACCGTAAACTTTTTCAGTACCGTCGGGTACTTATTTTAAGAGCAGGTAAACAGCAATAGATCCGGCCCTCAAGCGGCCTAATCGATACCCAGCCCTCACGGAATCGGTCCCTTGTTGTACAGCAATCGATCCTTCACAGTGCCCGTCCTGCCAACTTGCCGAGAATCGGTCCCCCAGGTCACCTGCCTGTGGCGCGAAGCTGATGTCTCCCGCCCTCGGCGCGCCCAACGCGCAGCGGCGGCAGACCACCCTCCGGTTCGAGGGGCGCCTGGGGCTGAGCGGGCTGCCTCCGCCAGAGTTTGGCTCGCCCACCGGCGGGCTGTCACCCTGCCACGGGTCGCAAGCCCTCTGCCGGCCGGAGCGCAGGCTGCGCGGGCTTCCAGCAATTGGTCCCTTGGCAAGCGCGAATCGGTCCCCCTGGCTCCAGGAATTGATCCGGCACTACACCCGGATCAATTGCTGTTTACCTGCTCAGACACAGATTCAAGGACGAGGACACGACACAGGACGCACCTCTAGTGAGGCCCGCATAGTAATGTGGGTGACTCCTGCCGCCGCCCCTGCCACCCCTGTGTCAGTGTGCCTGTGGTAGTGAGAGACTGCCGAAGCTGGAGGCAGGTCACTAGACTGAGATGAGACCGCCAGTGGAGTTGGGAGCCCACCGTGCACCGCGCTGCGAGCCTGTCGTGTCCCTTGTGCTTGTCAGGAGCAGGAGAGCCCCACCTGTCCCCCTGATCGTCCTTCCAAAATCCTGCTCGTGCAGGTGGGGACCCTGTCCTCCTCCCCCATCCCTCGTCTGGGTTTGTCTGTTTTCTTTCTTTCTTTCTTCTCTGAAGCTGAGAGAGATTTTTAAAGACCAACAAGAGAAGGCAGACGCCGTCGGTCAACCCGTCATGCGGCTTGCTTTGGCTCGCCGCCACCGCGGTGGCTCACCAAGGACTTTTCAGCGTGCTGCGTCATCACCGCGCGGCGCGCAAGCCACGCCTCACCCGGGCAAAAAGAACGACCGCGCGCCGCCGCCGCCCGCCTCGCCGCGCCGCGCCGCCCCGCGCCTCGCCTCGCCTTGCAGCAGCGCATGCGCACACGCACCCACGCGCCCGCGCTCGCTCCGCGAGAGCGAAGCAACCCTCCAAGCGAGTTCCGAACCGGGAGCCAAAAAGGTCCCGGCTCGAACCGCGAACCGGTTCGACCACCGCCGCTGGCGGTTCTTGCAAAGGCATCAAAGGCAGTGCTTGATATAACGTAAAATAGTGCGAGCGCGCGAGATACTCACCCGACCCACCGTGCCCTCGCGAAAAAGATCTCGCGCCGCGCGCGCTCGCACACGCCGCCCGAGAGCACTCCCACCCCCGCCGCCTCGCAAGCTCACAGGTTGATTTGAGGAGAAGCAGCTGGGGGAGGTCAAAGCGGGAGAAGGCGGCACGGCGGCGGCGGCGCGGCCCCCCCCCATCCCCACGCCTCCGGGTCGTGCGTACCGCCTCCGGGCGCGAGTGTCCCCCCAGCGTCTGCTCTGGCAGTCGCTCCGGTAATCAGGCCGAGAGTACCAGGGAGGAGGGGAGAAGAGCCCAGGGTGGGGAGAGGAGAAGAGCCCAGGGAGGGGGGAGGAGAAGAGCCCAAGACGGCCTCCCTCTCCCTCCCCTCCCACCGGGCCTCCCTCTCCCTCTCCTCCCACCGGGCCTCCCTCTCCCCCTCCTCCCGCCAAGCACCGACAGTCTCGAGGGGCCAGCCGCTGGAAGGGGCAAGCCAGCGGCACGAGGGCTTCAGCCACACAGCTACCATGGGAACGCGACCCACACAAAGCACCAAAGTTAGGCATACCCCCCGGCGCAGTGTCCCCCGCTATGTGTCGCCGTTTGTCGGGGCACGCTATCCTGTGTAGTCAGGGCAAGTGGGGGCGGGGTGGACAGCCCATCGTCTTTACGTTGGGACCTCTCTGCCCAGTCCGGGGGTAGGTCGGTCGGAATCCCCCAAAACAATTAAATTCCCTCTCGAGCGGAGAGAATTTGGGATTCGACTCCCGCGCAATCAAGTCATCAACGATGGTGCCAACGGCCAAAAAAGCGCCGGTAGCAAGCACGATGGAGGTGCGTCTTTCCCATGCTCGCGCGCCCCCCGCGCGCGAACTATGCATGGGCCCGGCTCGCCCGCTTGGGGATCCACCCGGCACACCCCCGCCCCCCACCTGCCGGCTTACCTGCCGTCAGTTCGCGCGGGATCGCCCACAACTGTCAGCAACTGAAATCCAGTTGCTTCAGCTGTGACTTCAGCCTCGCCTCACCGCTCTCCCTTCGGTCGCACGCCTCCGGAGAGAGGTCGCACACGACGCTGGTGACCATTCCCGACGAGCCATGCGCAGGTCGCGACCCCTGAGGACCTCCACACCTCCAAGGAGAAGCTCCGCGGCATCGGCGAGGCGACCGCTCTCTTTTCAGAACCTGCTAGGGCAGAGGCCCTGTCCACCCTGGCGTCCCTCGAGGGGTCGCCAGGGCCCGCCGCGGCCCTGGCGAGGCCCGTGGGCGGCCTGCTCCTCATCGACGCCTACGCCCTCGTCGGCCTGGCCGGCAAATATGCCAGCGGCGGGGGCGGCGCCGGCGATGCGGGTCTCATCTTTACCAGGTGGGTCGAGGCGATGGCCGGGCACGAGTCGCTCGCGCCGACGCGGGCGCTCCCGGCGCTGGCCACGCCGGAGACCAAGGCGAACTTCGTGAAGTACAAGCGCCGGATGACCGCGTACAAGGCGGACGTGGAGCGCGCGCTTAAGCGGCGCTCGACGGCCGTTTCTCGCCGGAAGGACCCGGCGGAGGCCGACCGCGAACTCGACCAACTCGTGCGGCAGGCGCACGTTCCTCTCCAGACCCTTTCGGACGCGGCCGACACGGGCGGCGGCGGCGGCGGCGGCGGCGGCGGCGCGTCCTCGCTCGATGCCGAGCTCGACGTGACGGCGCAGCTGCGCGCGTTTGCCGAGGGTTTGCACCCGCGCCTCGGCGCCGACAGCGCCGTCCACCTCTTGGAGGGCTGCCGCGACGTCCTCGGCTTGATCGCCGCCGAGGTGCGCGGCGCGCCTCCGCCGCGTGGGCGCGGCACGTCGCAGCTCCGGCAGGTGTCGCTGCTCCTCAACTATGAGCGGCGGCGGCGGCAGCTGAGCGAGGCGCTCGCCGACGAGCGGCGTGTCGAGCTCGAGCTGGCGGCGCGCCGCCAGCAGGCCGCCGTCGACGCCGCGCTCGCCGACGAGCGGCGGCGCTCCGCCGCGGCGTACGCGAAGCTCGACGCAGCGCTGCAGGCGGAGCGGCAGGAGACTGGGCGGCTCTGCACGGAGGTGCGGCGGCTCAAGGCGGCGGCGCGCGAGGCCGAGACTGCGGCGGAGCTGCGGTGCCGCAGCCAGGAGAAGGAGGCCGCGGCGCACTTTGGCTCCATCGCCTCAGAGGCCGAGCGGCGCGCCAAGGTCGCCGAGGCGCAGCGGGACGACGCGTGTGAGGAGGCGGCGCAGCTGCACGGCCTCTTCGCGCAGCTAGAGGACCAGCTCGACGCGCTGCGCTCGATGCGCGTCTCGGGGCTGCTCGAGCAGCTGCAGGCGAGCACGCGGCGCATCACCGAGCTCAGTGCGCGGCGCAAGGTGACGCAGCGCAAGCTCTCCGACGTGAACCTCGTCGAGCGCAACCTGGCGGTGTCGCAGCGGCTGCTCTCGGAGGAGCGGGCGGCCCACGCGAGCTTGTGGCGCGGAGACGCGACGGCAGAGAAGCTGGAGGCGGTGGAGGCGCAGTGCGCCAAGCTGCAGGCCGAGCTTGAGGCGGCGCAGGCCGAGGCCGCAAAGTTCAAGGCCATCGCCGAGCCCACCAAGGCGCGCTTCAAGCTGGGCAACCACTTCAACGCCGAGACGGAGCTTGCGTGCATCTCGGTGATGCACCTCGGCATCGCGCGGCAGAAGATCCCGAAGCTGTTCCCGATCTTCGCGCGGCTCTTGGGGGTCAAGCTGCCGTACCGCGAGATCAAGGTCCCCGGCCCGATCGTGGACGGCAAGCGCACCTCCGTCGTCAAGCGGCTGCCAGAGACGCCGCAGGCGACGCACTGCAAGGAGCTGGCGGGCGTCTCCTACGAGCTCAACAAGCTCCAGGTCGGCCAGTGGCTGCTGGAGTTCATGAACTCGGATGAGTCCTCGTGCTGCTACATCGCCGACGGCGCCGAGGCGCAGCAGATGGAGCGCATCGGCACCGTCCTCTCGCGGCGCGTCAACGGCAAACTCGAGCTGCGCGCCCTCGATTTGTCGACGGCCTCGAGCAAGACCGCCGAGGCGCAGGCGTCGGCGTACCACGAGTCGATCGAGGAGGTCATCAAGCTCATGGAGGAGGCCGGCCTCGCGGATGCGCGCGCGGCGGAGCTGCTGCGCCGCTTCCTCCCCACGTGCGCGTGCAACGACCGGGCGTCTACGGCGCGGCTCGCTGCGCGGCTGGTCCTCGGGCTGGGCGAGGGCGACGACGACCCGACCTGTGCGGAGCACGCGCTCGTCAACATCCTCGAGGAGGGGCGCAAGGCGATGGACGCCATCCTGCGCGAGCTGATGAACTTCACCGACGAGCAGGCCGCGGCGCACGCCGACAAGATCAAGGCGATGCGGACCTGCGTCGGCTGGTTCAGCTCGCCTGTCTGCGCGCTCATCTACCAGGCACCGTCAGCCCCGACCCCGCACCGCAGATCACTCCCACTCGCGCGCCAATCCCGCACCCCCCCGCGCCGCACGCGTAGGTGAGCAAGTACGTCGCGCTCTGCTCGACCAAGGGCTACGCCATCGGCCGCAAGCTGCAGGAGTGGATGGAGGCGCGGCTGGCAGACCTCGAGGAGCAGCTCGAGCATCTCGTGGGGCACGTGGAGGACGTGCTCGCGATCTGCGGCTCGCGCGCGTACGTCTTCTACCTCGACGCGGCGCCGACGGAGCGGCTGCTCACTGAGCACGACATCTCCATGCTGACCTACCTCGACGAGGATGAGATGCTCAAGGCTGCCGGCGGCGGCAAGCTGCGCAAGTCTATCCTCACCGGCGCGCGCTCGCCGCCCTGCATGGCGGGGGTGCGCGCCATGGCGCTGATCTGCGACGCGGTGTTTTGGCCGCTGATCCGCGCGGTCAAGCCAGCCGCGGACAAGCACGTCCTCGACGTGCTCCCGCGCGTGTGGCCGGCGGCGCACGCGTTTTTTGAGGCGGCCGCCGCGTCGCCCGCGGGCATCGTCGACGGCTCGCTCAAGCTGCAGCTCGGCGACGTTTCGGCGGCCGCCACCGCCGCTACCGCGCCAACTCCAACGCAGGCGCGCCGCGCCGAGCGCCATCGCCTCGATATGGTGCGCATTCGCGCCGCAGCGGCCGACGACCCGATGGTGACGCGCTTGCTGACGGCGGCATTCGGCGCGATGTCCCGGGCGGTCTGCAACCACGCTGCGGAGTGGATGCCGGCGGGCCTCGTCGCCACGAACGGCTCGATCACCAAGACCGGCAAGCTGTGCTCGGCGAACATCACCCCGGCGCTGCGCGCAAAGTACGACGCGCTGCAGGCGACGAGCACGCCGGTTGAGCGGCTGCACGCCGTCGGCCGCGTCAGCGACGACCGGCACAAGCGGCAGCGCAATGAGTCGCGCGCCGGCGACTCGCTCGGGCGCTTTAACAACCAAGCCGGCTGGCTGACGGGCGAGATCGATGAGCGCGGCGGGCTCAAGGTCGCCGAGACCATGCTTGCGGCGTGCCGAAAGGCGGCGGGGCGGGCGAGACGCGTTACGCTCAAGGCGCAGCTGGTCGCGGCGGGCCGCGCAAAGCGCGCCGAGCGCGACGAGAAGCTGGGCAGCAAGAAGGCGCGCAAGGCGGCCAAGGCGGCCGAGAACGCGCGCATCGCGCAGCTGCCGCTCGTGCGGCGCTACTCAGAGCTGAAGAAGCTGGCGATCGCCGGCTTGCAGGCGCTTCTCGGACGCTGTTGAGCGGTATACTAGTGCCCCACTACTCACGGCTCTCGTTTGTTGTAGGACCAGCTCAAGGCCTTCAAGCTGGCGGGGAAGACGGGCTTCACTGTCACGCAGGCGAACCGCGCGGACTATTGCACGCAGCTGCAGAACCTCCTCTTCGCCGCGCATGGCGTCGAGGCGAACGACCTCGAGGACGGCGACTCGGGGTGCGACGGCGACGGCGTGGTGCGGAAGGTGCGGCAGCGGCGCGTGGCGGGCGAAGAGGGCGGCGGCGGCGGCGGCGGCGGCGGCGGCGGGAAGAAGAAGAAGAGGAAGAGGGTCGATCTGCGTGAGCTCAACGGCTGGCAGTGGGAGGCGAGTGAGAAGTTTGACATCGAGCGCATTCTCGACAGCAAGGTGGAGACGGTCGGCAAGGTGCTTGCGCCCTCACACTCGCACCTGCCCTTGCTTATTGCCACTCCATCGCTCACGTGCCCGACCACCTCTCTTCTCGCCTCACAGGGCAAGAAGCGGGTCGAGATGACGTACTACTTGATCCTCTGGAAGGGGTACCCGCCGGACGTGTCGACGTGGGAGCCAGAGTCAGAGATACACGACGACTTGATCGACGCGTACGAGGCGGAGCTCGATGCGGCGTCTGAGCTGGAGGCGGAGGAGGCGGAGGAGGGCGAGGAGGGCGAGGAGGAGTGACTAGCGCGCGTCCTCCGCCCCCGTGCGCGTGTGTTGAGGTGGTGCGAGAGCCATTTGCGTGCGTGAGCGGTGCGGCCGGGTGTGTGAATGTGAACCGTGGGCCACTTGTGTTGAGGGATGGCAACCCATGTGGGTGCCTATGTGTTTCTTTCGAGCTAACGCACCTTGTTTTGCAGTTTCTATGCCGTGCTATTCACTTCCAAAAATCGACCCCCGGGACCCCGACCGACCTACCGGGGGTGCGTCGAACCTTCCATCACCCTGTCGGAAGCGGCGTGCCGGTGGAGGCACGTCCGGGTTTTGGAAGTAAAGATATATTACTTTTTTAAAGACCAACAAGAAATCACGACTCTCACAGTGATTTGGGCTCGGCAGCTTGTTAGCCCTCAGCCGAAGCTGGGGCCGGTCCGTAGCCGAGAGATCTGAAGCTGTGTCGCGCTGCAGGCCTGCCTGCAGCTCGCGGCGGCGGATGAGATCGCGACCGAGTCCGGCTCGCCACGGCGCCGGAGGACGCCGCCGTCGCGTAGACTCCCTTGCGTTACTACGTGCTTGCCCATGTTTGTAGCCTGACGTTTGAGAGAGAGAGAGATTTTTAGCAATACCAAACAACTCTAACACTCACACGTCATTTGGGGCCTGGAGCCCTGTTCACGCGCGCGCGAGACGTGCAGACAGGGTTGCCAGGTGAGAGCGAATGGCGCGGTTCACGCCTCGCACAACAGAGAGAGAGATGCGCTCTGCATGGTGGGACATAAAAGAGAGCGAGTACTTGGGCGAGTAGGCCGTGCGGTCGACGCTGCCGCGCGCGACTTTGCGCGCGAGGCGGCGCAGCTTGAGAACGGCGGTGGGCGAGAAGCCGCCGCCGAACGTCTCGTGGAGCAGCAGGTTGAAGTTGTTGCGCTTGACAAAGATCGCGTCGTGGTAGAAACCGCGATGCGCCTTGACGTAGCCGTGGCCGTTCTTGTGGTCGAAGGGTTGGCCGGGTTGCCCGCGCGCCTTGCAGCCCATGTTTAGGCGGCGGGCCTTCTCTTCGGTGTTGCCGAGGTTTTGTTGACGTTTGTGCCCCGTAAAGAGGGAGATTCAAATAAATATTTTCAAAAGGCGCGATCGCGGCACGCGAAGACTGGTTGCAATCCCGCCGACCGCCAGGCCGCGGGATGATGCGTGCGTGGTCTTGTAGTGGGTATCGGAAGCGCCCAGACCCCCTATCTGGAAAAGGGGGCCGAACCCTCAGCATTACAAAGGCGCCATTTGCGGCGGGCTTGTTCGTTCTCCACGATGGCTGCACCAGCCGCCACAGCAAGCCACACCGGTCACCACCTCTGGCCTATCGCAGCAAAGCCGGCGGTGCACACGGAGGGTCTGCGCCGTGCCGCCATCCTGATGCGGGGCGAGCCCTTTCGTTGGGGTGATGATCTTGAAGGCAGGCGGGCGCAGGCCAACGTGTACGCAACGATCCGAAGCCGCGTCATCGACCCGCTCTCCACCTCGTATGGCTTCGCCTACCTGCTGGCCGTCGACGAGCGGCGCGGGTACTCCGACGGTCTGTACCTACGGCTGCTCGAGTACGTTGGCAGCATCCCGGCCGTCTTTCTACGCGTGAAAACGTCCACACAGGCCGAAAACTACCGGGAGGCAGTGGCTGCGGGCTGGCCGGGCATGCAGGACGCGGACGTCGTGTTCGTGTTCCGGCACGACGTGTCAATCCAACGTGCCATCCACTCTTGGGGCTGCCCGCCCCTCGAGGCGGCCCTCGCGACTCAGATCCTCCTCCCGAGCCGCATCCCTGAGATGGGAAGCGTCAACGACCTCTACCAGATCGTGCCGCGGCAGCGCCTCGACGTCTTCTCGCGCCACTTCTTCACGAACCACTCCGCTTGCTTCGCGATCGGGATGAGAGGCTGGCAGGTCAACACCGGCCACTTTTGCCACAGAGTCTTTGATCGAGCGAACATATCCTACGCCACGTGCAACGCGACGGCACGGTATCCAAGATCGCGGGACAGGTTTCGTTCCTATTGGGACTACAGCACGCATGAGCTCTCTCGGTGTGGGACACTGCTAAGGGAGACCAACCCCTATCGCTGCGGAGGCAACACGAGAGGTTATCGCAATGCGAGCCGAATCGTTGAGCCGAATCGTTGAGAGTGATTCTAAGATCTGGTCGGAAGATAAGGTGCGCAGAACTTTCGTATCAAGGAGATACGCCAGGGGGCAACCCTCGATTGGTTTTTCCCCCACAGCTCTGGTTAAAAAGGGCCAAGCGGTTGAGGCGTCACTCGCCAGGGACGTGTCACACGAGCGGCTCTGAAATTATCACGGCAATGGCGCCCAGCGCAAATATCCCTCTCATTCACTGCCCACAGCCGGAATGTCTTATTTCTGTCTCGTGGTCGTGGCGAGCGATTTGCTGCGGTTCGCCGTGAGCCGCGCGAGGCCGCTCTTCCCCTTCTCGGGCACGCAGCGGCAGAGGCGCGTCGTCTTCGAGAAGGCCGCCTCGCACGTCGAGAAGGCGATGTCGGAGACGAGGCACTGCTGGTACGTGTCCAGCGCGGAGTCGTGCACGTACGCGGGCAGCTCGTCCCCCACCTGGTGGCCGCAGCCCGCCTCGCACGGGAAGTGGCGCGCCAGCGCCTCGCACGACATCACCCACTCCAGCTCGCGCGCCTGCGGGAAGCTCGCAGGAAAGGTGCTAGGAGAGGTCAGGGGGGGCGGGCCTGCTCGTCCGGCCCTCGCGCGCCTGGCACCGCATCCCCGCACCCTGACACGCGGCGGCGCACGAGGCGCCTGGCGCCGCCTTCACCTCGCGCCACGCGTGGGCCTGTGGAAAGGCTCCAAGGGAAGGCTCGGACAGAAGGCTCCTCTCCTCCCCCCCCTCCCCCCCGCCACGCGGCGCACCGCCCGAAACGCGTGCTGCGGCGGCAGCCACGGGCACTTTCGTCGGTCTGCGAGGACCAGAGTGGCGCCTACTCTCGGCTTGGTGCGTGATGAGTTCGCGGAGAAGGACCAGACTAGCGCCGACTCCGCAGCTCGCAAGGCGGGGGGCGGGGGCGGGGGGAGGCGGGGGGGGGGGGGGGGGAGGGGGAGGCCGTCCCCCGGGGGGGAACCCAGGACGATTGTCCCCTTGTCCCTGCCGGGGGGGGACTCCTACACACTCGTGAGGAGGGACTCAGCCGCGACTGGCGGGCTCTCCACTGCGCGAGCCGTCGTGGTCTCCTTCCAGAGGCCGAGCGGCGTGGCGAGAGAGCGGTAGGTCTCGCGCCTAGTCTCGGGGGGCGATCTCGGGTCGATCTCGGGCCGGGTCGCCCCCTCCCCCGTGGCGAGGGGCGGATTGAGCGCGTGTACGCGACGACGGTCGTGGTGCCCGCGCCGAGCGCCTCGAGCCACTGCCTCGCGGCCGGGGCATCGCCCGAGCTCTTCGACCAGAAGGACCCGCCGCCCGCCTGCATTAGACAGAGAGCGGTCGACGCAGGGACAGATCTCTCCCACCGGAAGGACCCGCCGCCCGCCTGCAGCTTTCCCTGCCCCGCCACGGGCGTGCTCCAAAAGTCGGACGCCTCCCGCCAGGCGGTGATGTGCGCCGGAGGGGCAAAGAGCGCCTGGGCGGGTGGGACCGCTGCTGATGGTCGCCGATGGGACGACTGGCGGTGTGCGCCGGCGGGCGACGCGCTCCTTGACAGCGTCGTCGTACGCTGGCCGTAGCAGGTGGTGCAGGTCGCCTGGTGCGGTGCTCTGCGGCGTTAGACTGCCCCCCTCCGTCGGGCGAGCATGGCGGTGGCAGACTGGTCGCCGAAGCTGCCGACGCCGTGCTCCGCGAAGCCGAACGCCTCGAACGGGCGGTTGTCCTTGACGTTGGTGCCTCGCTTCGACGCGTGCCGTGTGCGTGGCACCTCCGGCCGGAGGCACTCCCTGCCGCGCGAGGTGGACGAGAGCCGCATCCAGTGGTCCCACCTGCCGGGGAGATTTGGGGAGATGTGGGGAGATATGGGTGGCCCCAGCTGCCGGGGGCCAGGGCTAGGGCCTAGGGCTAGGGTCTTAGAGCCCAATCCAGTGTCCGACCTCCTCCTGCCCCTCCTCTGCCCCCCACGCCTCCTCCTCCCCACCACCACCACCCCACGGACCTGCCCCACACTCGGACCAGTGCTGGCTGGTTGCCAACTCACGCTACTCGACTGCTACTCGCCGCGCCCCGTCGTCGCCGCCTCGGGCCAGTGCGGCGCGAGCTCGTCGTTCCACGTGTCGCCGGTCACCATCCAGCCCAAGCCTGTTGGGAGGCCCCGAGAAGGCTCAGGCAGGGCTCCACGTCTCGCGGCTCGCCGCCCAGCCACGCGGCCTGGGAAGTAGTCTGTCCGACCGATCGCCTCGCTCCTCGCCGCAACGTGCGGGTACCCCTGGTCGTTCCACGCAGACACGCACCAGAGCGTGCGGTCCCTCCGCAGCAGCCACGCAGAGGACCTACACACGGCTCGGCTCGGCTCACCCCGGCCCGCCGCGCAGTCCCGCCGCCGCGGCAGGCCGCAGCGGCGCGCCAGAAGAAGAGGAGCGTGTCGGGCGAGAGGAGCAGGTCATCCTCGAGCACCTGGGCCGTGGCTGGGAAGGCTCTCGGAAGGCTCGTGGAAGGCTCCAGCAGCGTCTTCCTCGATCACCACGGCGTGCGAGTGGCCGCGACCCGTCGGAGGAGCGCCCAGCACCGCCTGCGGCACCGCCCCCTCCGAGCTCAAGTCACCGCCGCCACGTCCCGCGGGCAAGGGAGGGAGGGGCCAGGGAGGGAGGGGCAAGGGAGGGAGGGGCCAGGGAGGGAGGGGCCAGGGAGGGAGGGGCCAGGGAGGGAGGGGCCAGGGAGGGAGGGGCCAGGGAGGGAGGGGCCAGGGAGGGAGGGGCCAGGGAGGGAGGGGCCAGGGAGGGAGGGGCAAGGGAGGGAGGGGCCAGGGAGGGAAGGGCGCCTGCAGCGCCGCCTTGAAGTGGCGCGAGATCTTGGCGTAGCCGGAGCCTAAGCTCGGGCCTCCTCGGCTCATCTCGCTGCGAGCGCGTGTCCGCAACGCGTCGCGCTCGAGACGCGAGCCCGCAAACGCCGGCTGGAAGCGCTGCTTTGGCGGCTGGTGGTAGCGGAGGACGTCGCGGACGCATGCCGCCGCCTTGGCCGCCGCCGCGATCTCGGCGCGGCCCGCGTCCTCCGACACGTACACCGCAAAGTGGCGCGCCTAGTAGGGGCATGTCCCACGGCTCCGCCCAAGGCCTGCTCCTCTGCGCCTCTGGTGCAGCGGGGCGCGCACCATCCGCATGGGGCAGACGAGGCCGAGCGAGCGGGAGAGCATGTCCGCCCGGTCGTGCGACATGATGACCACCGCCGGGCTCGCCATGCAACCCACCGCCGGGTCGCTCGAGCACCCGTCTGCCTGGTCCTCCTCTGGCCTCGCCGCAGCGCCGCTCGTCTCTGCCGCCGCAAGAGCGCGCTGCTCCGCCTTGGCCTGCCGCCGCCGCTTGGCCCGAGCGACGCCGTCGTCCGCGGCGGCGTGCTTATTGGCGGCGCCCTCGACCCACTCCGCGTGCTGCTGCTCGAAGGCCTCCACGTCCTTCGTCAGCGCCGCCTCTGCCGCCTCTGCCGCCGACCTCGCTTTCGCATCGGCGATCGCCGCCGTCGCTTTGGCATCAGCAGCTCTCGCAGCCGCCGCAGCCGCGTCGGCTTCCGCCGTCTCGTTGCCCTGTGGCTGCCGTCGCAGGCGAAGCAAAATGAGATAGGTGTAGCAGATCGTCGCCGCCATCACGAGCAAGACCAAAAGCAGCAGCGGCGAGCAGCGCCGCGGCCGGCGACGCGCCGCCCTCTCCCGCATCGCTGGCCGAGGAGGGACGTGGCGGCCTCGGGCTGCTGCGAGGAGATTTTGCGACCGTGGGACGATGACGAGAGAGTCGTAGAGGTCGTACCACCGTGGCTGTGTCGAGCGCCGGGGCGGGGCGGTGTTGTGTGATGAACCTCGAGTCCCTGGGTCCCCGTGTTGCGTCTGACTGTCACTGAGCGGCCAGGACTCATAGACTCGGTCGAGAGACCCCAGATTGGCATCCATGCCTCTCTGGACAGGGTGGCCCGCCACAAGGACCCGAGGAATTGCGACTCGCCGCTTTCCTCCCGCTGTGATTCTGTGGTGAGCTCTGTGTCTTGATTTGCCAACAATAAACCTAAAAAAAAAGAGAAGGCCCGCCGCCTAAACATGGGCTGCAAGGCGCGCGGGCAACCCGGCCAACCCTTCGACCACAAGAACGGCCACGGCTACGTCAAGGCGCATCGCGGTTTCTACCACGACGCGATCTTTGTCAAGCGCAACAACTTCAACCTGCTGCTCCACGAGACGTTCGGCGGCGGCTTCTCGCCCACCGCCGTTCTCAAGCTGCGCCGCCTCGCGCGCAAAGTCGCGCGCGGCAGCGTCGACCGCACGGCCTACTCGCCCAAGTACTCGCTCTCTTTTATGTCCCACCATGCAGAGCGCATCTCTCTCTCTGTTGTGCGAGGCGTGAACCGCGCCATTCGCTCTCACCTGGCAACCCTGTCTGCACGTCTCGCGCGCGCGTGAACAGGGCTCCAGGCCCCAAATGACGTGTGAGTGTTAGAGTTGTTTGGTATTGCTAAAAATCTCTCTCTAAACCTAAAACTGTGCTAGAACGGGAAAAAGAAACAAAGAAAACAGACAGCCCAAGGGAGGGATGGGAGGACGGCACGCCGCCACCACACAGGGATTTTAAGGAGAGGTGTGTGGTGCGCTATCCGTCGCCCACCTAGAACGGGGCCCGGGGTTGTGCGCGCATGTGTAATTTTCGAGGGACCTCGGTGTTGCCGCGACTCCCAGAGGCTCACCGCCTCGCTTGGCAACCTTCACACATCCCACTTTCAGGTACAACACGGACGCTCGTTCAGTGAGCTTCGCGTTCACTCTGTGCGAAATGGCGTTCCGGATTCCGACGCAGAACGACGTCCCATCCACCGGCTTCTGGGGCGCCGCGACTGCCGTGCACCAATTCTGCGAACCAAAGTACAAGACCTCTCACTACGTCGCCGAGTTCTACAACTCGCTCTCATCCTTTGTCTACGTCTTTGCCGCCGTGTACGTGCTCTCGCGGCGTGAAGCGCGCGCAGACCCGATGATTGTCATAAATGCACTGGCCGTGACGATTATCGGCCTCGGCTCGGTCGCCTTCCACGGCACGATGCTCTTCGAGTTTGAGCTGTGCGACGAGGTTCCGATGCTCGTCTACATCTCGCTCGCGATGCTCAACAAGTTGGGCTGCCACCCGATGCTCCTCACGCGAGCGCGCTGCGTCGTGTTTGCGAGCCTCGTCGTCAGCGCGTGCGCGCTGACCATCGCCGTCTACGCCAAGTACGCCGTGTACGAGTTCTTTGTCGCCTCGTTCACCGCGCTCGTGCTGCTCGACACGGCGCTCGCGCTGACGTGGCGCAGCAAGCAGCGCGTGACGACCTGGGCAGTCTACATGTCGATGGCGTGCATCCTGCTCGGCAAGATCCTGTGGGAGTGCGAGGTCCGCCTCTGCTCGACCGACGGGCGCGTCTGGCCGCTGCACGTGGTCTGGCACGCGCTCTCGTGCGCGGCGGCCTACTACGGCCTGCTCGCCGACATGGCGGCGCGCATCGACTGCGGCCTCTCGCCGGCGGTCGCGGGCGGGGAGACCAAGGTGGCGCTCCGGTGGGCGGCCGTGCCATTCTCCGAGGTGCACGTCGTGTGCGCGGCCGAGGAGGAGGGCAGCAAGGCGCGGTGAGCTTGCGATGTCTGCTCTCTACGTGTACGTTTACTCTCGTCTCTCATTCGTCCACATCTCTCTAATAGTAACTCTAACTCTCTCTCTCCCTCTCTCTCTCGGTGTTGTAGTACTCGATCAGCGACGCTCATGGCTAATGCAGCTGTACGTACCCACAGCTGCACGAGCGGGAGCGCCAAAAGAGCAGTGTCATAGTTTCATGCCTGCGATCACCCCCCATGGGTGCCCTTTCTAGTCATTCTAGTGAATGAATTGACTCGTCCCAGTGGATGTGTCCGATTTCCGACGTCCCTGTCAAAATGTGCGTGACGTCCGATCCTTTGTAATCGTCTAGAGACGCTGGACACATGAGCACGGAGCCGGCCGCTCCCGGCCCCACGCTGCGCCCACGGCCCGCGCGGCCGGCGCAGCCACCCGGGAGCTCAGGCGCTACCGCTCCGCTTGCGCATGGTAGCGGCCTACGGTCCGCATCCTGCCGTCCGGACAACCGAGCCCAACAATCGGCGCCGGACAACCGAGCCCAACACCCTCCGCCCAGCCCGGCCCAGGGGTCGCCGTCCGAGGCACCAGCCGCGACACCATCCGCCGGTGCCGCCGAGGCCGGTGCACTCAGCCCCAGCGGGCAGGCGCTTGCCGCCGCAGAGCTGGCGTCGCACCAGAGGCAGTGCGCAAGCGCGCAGCCTTTGCCTTTCGTGCAGGTGCAGAACCCTGGAGTGCAGCCGCAAATGTACCTGCCGCCCTCGTCTGGCCTCGCCGACCAGTGGGCCTGCTGCGCGTCGATGGCCATGCCTTCGCAAGCCTCCGGTTTCGGCTGGCCTGCCGCGCCTGCTCTCATGGACCCCGCTTGGGTGCAGAGCCCGCATGGCTGCAGCGCGCCCGCCTTCCACGGCTGGGGGATGGGGCAGGTGCAGCCCTCTTGCGGCTCCTACCTCCACACTGGCGCGCAGCAGCTCTACCCCTGCGGCGGCGAAGCGTGGTCGCCCTTTACGCAGCAGCACCAGGTGCAGCAGCAGATGCAGCAGCAGCAACAACTGATGCAGCAGCAGCAGCAGCACGCCGCCTTTCAACCCGGGTTCCCTGCGCCTGGCGCTTCGGCTGCCGCCATTGGCGCTGGCCAGGCCGCCTCCGCCGCCCGAGGGCAAGCCGGAGTCGGTGAGCGCGACCCTCAGGTCGAGGGCCTCGCCTCTCTCCTCGCCCAGGCCGTGCGGCAGAGTGCCGGTGGCGCCAAGGCCAAGGTCAAGGACGTCAGCGCCGCCGAGGCCAACGCCGTCGCCACCACGCTCGACCCCGCCGACGTCGCCCCTTTCATCGCGCGCTTCAAGAACATGTGCATCCGGAAGGACCCGCGCTTCGTCAGGCTGTTCGCCCTCAACGCCGCCCAGCTAGCGAGCACCATCACTGCAGGCGACGACGAGCTCGCCTACCTCGACGCCTACGTCGCCGGGGCTGTTCAGTGCTGCCTCAAGCCCGACTCTGACGCTGTCAAGCTCTTTAGAAAGCGCAACGACGGCGGTCATCAAGGCAGCGGCCTCTACCAGCTTCAGAGCATCGCTCGGCTCGCCGTCCTCAAGCCCGGCGTCGAGATGCAGAACGCCGAGGCCGCCTTCAAGAAGAAGACGTTCTTTGTTGCCGGGATGGGGTTCGTCCCCGCGCAGCTCGCCGCGGAGACGCTCAAGGCCGAGTTCGCGCTCCTCACCAACCAGTGCCGATCGCACTTTGACGTCTACCGCGCCATCATCGGCAAGCTTCCCGACCAGATCAGCGGCAAGCGCGATGCCCTCGCCGACAAGATCAACGAGTGGCAGTCCGGCGGGTTCCCGCCCTGGCACAGCTACGACGCCTTCATCACATACGTCGCCAACCTGCTCAGCGACGGGAGCGCCTGCGTCAGCGCCGGCGATGCTGGCCCCGCCGATGCCGGCGCTGGCGGGCTCGAGGCGAACGCTGCTGAGAGGGCCGGCGGTGCCCCGCGCCCTCCTTGCCTCATCTGCGGCAGCCCCGACCACGGCACCAAGCAGTGCACGCGCGATAATCTCTCTGGGGGGGCGCGGGGGCCCTAGAGGGTGTCCATGCGGGGGGGGAGATGGGGTCCCCCAGCCCGCCGCAGGCGCCGATTTTTTTGGGATTTTTTCTTTTTCGCGCGATTTTTTACTTGTTTCCATGGGAATTCGGCGTACTTGCGGCCATGCTATCACGCCTTGCGACATCCTTTCGGCGCTGCTGACCGTGCCATGCTGCACAATTGATCACCTGCATAGCTCGCGGCCTTAGTCTTCGGCATTCAGTGACGACCTGATCGTACGGCCAGTAGGAAGGTGTCCTTCCACGCTTCCAGCTGCGTGCACGCTTTCTGACGCAATGCGCGTCACAAACTGCCTCGGATTGGCTGCTGGCACTCTCGAGGCTATGCCTACACAGCCTCGCGCGCATGGGCAGTCAAGAGGGACCACGCACCTTCTCAGGACAGCGCCGGTGCCTCTCTCTTGGACCGGCAAACTTGGCGGTCTCGTGTCACCAATGTGGGACCAGTGCGGCATCGCGCCATCGACAGCTCTGAACTGCGCCTCACCACTGACCGGGAAGGCCGCCAAGTGGGCCAGCACCGGTCGCACATTGTGGCAGCAGTCAGCAGTGCATGTCTGATAGCTAGAGCAGCAGCGTCAGGGTCGCAGGGTCGGATCGTGTCAAGCCTCTCGCCCGACCGGCCGCGTGCGAACGTCGGCCTGTCTGCTGTCTCGAGTGATCTGTCGGCGGTCAGTACGACCGATCAGGTTGGAGGTTTCTCATGATTGGAGGGTCTATCTGTATGTACTCCTCGAGATCTCTCCAAATCTGCCCTCTAACCAACCGTAACCATTCGGGAAGTCGGTGCTCTGAGCGACTCTGAGCGCCGGAGCCCCGTTTCCGCAATGCGGCGCGGCGCACGGTGCCTCCGGGGGCCCCCGCGCCCCCCCAGAGCATAATCTTCTCCACCTGCTGCACCAAGGAGCTCTTCGTCCCCACGACCTCCTCCAGCTCGGGCAGGGTCTCCTGCTCGAGCGAGGAGCGACACCTTCAGCATGCAGCTCCCGACACAGCCTCTCGATGTCGTCCCTGCGGTGCTTTGCGTGGCTGTCCAGCGCCCGCAAGAGCAGCAGCCGCGTGCTAACCGACCTCGGGTTGTAGAGAAAATTCTTCTCAGCCAGAGGCACGGATTGGAGATTGGCTTTGGGGACGTCGAGGGCTATCCGGGCACGGATGTGATGCAAAAGGGGTTCGTCGGGCCACTTTGCCAAGGCCCGGTCCACGGCGCCTACTGCCGTGCCGACCGAGCATATTCTGCGTGTATATTGACTGGGTATGGAACTGGTATGAGCTGCGACGTGCAGCTGCCTGCAACTGTGAGGAGCACGGCTGAAGCGTGTCCGTCGGCGGTGCAGCCACAACAGTGCTGTCGGGCCTCCAACTGCGGCGCCAGCCGACCAGGCTGGGCTCAGTAGGCGCCAAGGGAGGTACCAGAGGCACCAGTGGTTGGGCTGGGCAGACCGACACCAACATTGGCGATGGCGCCATTCAAACGAATTGATTGGGATTCGTACTCAGCGAGACTTGTGCAACCTGGTTCAGCGAAACCTATCGTCGCGTGGAGCAATGCGGCTCTGCGGTGCTCGGCGGGAGTGCTAGGCACTCGACTGGCCAGTCACTTGGCAGCGCCAGCTCCGCGACCGTGCTGCCAGTGAAGGAGACGGCCAACCCTCGAAATCACCCTGGGAACGTCCGGGTTTTGGAAGTAAAGAGCACACACACACACACACACACACACACACACACACACACACACACACACACACACACACACACACACACACACACACACACACACACACACACACACACACACACACACACACACACACACACACACACACACACACACACACACACACACACACACACACACACACACACACACACACACACACACACACACACACACACACACACAATATAATACATAGAAGGGGACCACGTCCTCGCCCCGGAGCCACAGCGCACAGGGCCAGCGTCTATGTCTACACCGCCGCGACGTCGGAGCTCGCCATCGGTCGCGACGGCGCCGGTCGCAGCGCAAGCCTTCGGCGCGTCGTAGCGCGCGCCTCAGGGCTGTGCTCGTCGTTCACCGCGAGGTGGCACGAGTAAGAAAAGACGGCGAAACCGCTCAGAGCGAGGAATGCGTTCAGCTCGGGTGGGCCGACGCGGGCGGTGGGCAGCATCAGTCCGACACCGCCCACGAAGAGCAGTGCGGTGCCTACACATAGGGAACTGCGACGAGTGAGAAGGGACGGAGGGCGGGGGCGGCAAGGGCCGAGGTGCGCCGCAGGCCGATCAGAACGTTGGTCATGCCACAGAGGTGTAGGAACTTTCGGCGGTACCGAACTGGCCTCGCCTCTGGCTCCTCGGGCTCAGCGACACACGCCTCTTGCATGCAAATCTCCTGGCGGCACACGCCGCACGTTGGCGGCCCCGCTGACCGGCACGCAAGCTCCTCGAGGCAGCTCCGGTGCGCACGCATCGAGCGGCAGGCGCACACATTGACGAGCATCGGGCCGTCGGAGGAGAGGCAGATGTAGCAGCAGTCGTCCTCCGCGTCCACGTCGTGCTGGTAGGCGAGCGCCGCGGTGGAGCCCTCGTCGGGCCTCTGCACCGAGTGCGGTTCCTCTCGGAGCAGGCTGTGTTGCGCCTGATTCTCTTTGTCGCCGAGCAGCGCCGCTGCCTCTGTGGTCGGCGCAAATCCGCTCGGGTAGAACTCGTCGGGCAGCTTGTTGTGCGTGGCAAGCATAGCGCAGCTAGCGAGCAGGCGCGGAGGGGGGGTCGGCCACCTCCGCCGCTTCTAAGTTCTATCAAACCCGGCGCCCTCCACCCCCCCCTCCCCCCCGCGCGCGCGATAAGATTTCACGCCTGCGATGACAAATCGCTTGGCGGTGTACGTCTCTCAGCGGTGCGGATCTCGCCGCTCAAGCCTCGGGCTACACGTACAGGGTCCCCTGCTGAGGAACACGATGGTCATGACTTCGCGCGCCCCGGACAACCGCGGTCTAATCGCTCTGTGTGTGTGGCGTGCTCCATGCACCCCACGAATGGCAAGTGCGGCGGCGGTCTAATCGCGGCTGCTCTCGCGACAACTATGCGCCTCTTAGTCGCGCTCGAAAGCGGCGAGCTCGTCAGGCGTCGGCATGGCGATTCCGTCGAGCCCGAGGTTACCCAGGCAATACCGCGCCTTGATTTGCCCGCAGCAGATGCCATCCTGCATGCACTCGACGTCCCAGCAGCGCTGCCAGGCGACACCGCTCTGCAGGTCGACCGTGATCATCGTCTTGTTGGACATGTGCGCCGCGCCCTTGTGGAAGCAGAAACGGGTGCCCCGCGCGGTCAGGTGCAGCAGCCGCTCCGACGGGTTCCCGGCGCGCACGTACGTCCACATCTCGACGCTGCAGCCGGGCGCAGCTCCGGGCCAGCTTGCGAACTTGGCCGCGGCCCAGGCAGCCACCTTGTCCAGCGGCGACGGCGGCGCGCCTTTGCCCTTTCGCGTGGACTCGAGGAAGGGGTGCGGCACCTTTGGCCAGTCGCGCAGTGGGGCGTCCGTCACCTGATCGTACTTGGCGCACCACTCTCTCAAACTAGCGCCATCGGCGTTCCTGCCGCCGCCGCCGCCGTCACGGCTGCCGGCGCCACCGCCACCGCCGTCACGGCTGCCGGCGCCTCCACCGGCGGGCAAGCTTGCGGGGGGGCGACGGGGCGCTGCGGGGGCGTCGCGCGGCAGCTCGAGCGTCGCCCAAGCGCGCGGGCCGTCGGCGAGCCCGCCGCCCGCCGCGGCGCACGGCGCGAGCTCCGGGTTGACGAGGGAGAGGCGCAGCTGCGCGGAGAGAGGTAGGGACGAGGGCCGGCTGCCGAGCAGTCCGGGCAGGCTGGTCGCGCCGTCGGACAGCGTGAGCACGGCAGTCGACCCGAGCTTGGACGAGCCCACCAGCCGGAAGGCGCGGTTGCACGAGTAGACCGACTTGTCGACGAAGCATGCCACGCCGCCGCCGCCGCGCCTGTCGACGTCCAGCTGCTGGCCGAGCCGAGCGATCACCGCCTTGGCGACGCGCCCCGCCTGCTCCTGGCTGGCGAGCAGCAGCGGCACGCGCGCTCCGGACGGCAGGAGCAGGTGCGGGCGGAGGATGGCGTGGCGCGACCACTTGTCGACGCGGTGCGAGTCGAGGGCAACCACCTCGACCTCGAGCCTGCCCTCGGCGACGGCGCGCCGGGCCAGCGCGGCGTCGGCGCCGTGCAGCTCGACTGCCTGCTCGGCTTCGGAGAGCGCCTCCTCGAGGATGGCGATGGCCGTATCGACCACGAGGGTGCTCAGCCGCTCGCCGTCGACCGCCAGGTTGAGAGTCGCGCTGCGCACGAACTCGAGGTCAAAGTAGACCCAGCACGGCAGCGCGGCGTCGATCACCTCGTACGCGTTGCGGCTCGCGGGGGGCAAGCCCTCGTACAACGCAGCAAAGACGGGGGCGCTCGCAGCGACGTACGCCTTTGGCGCGCCGCCGCCGCCTCTGCTCGGCAAGTCGAACGCCCACGCACGCGACGCGCCGCTGCGGTCCTCCTTGATCTCGCTGCGGCACGCGTCGAGCCTCTTGTGGATGCTCGCCGACGATCCGCGCGCCGCCTCGGCCCACATGTCTGCGGGGTCGGAGGAGGCCGGCGGCGGCGCCTGCCGCTGTGGCGGCGGCTGCGCCCGCTGCTTGCGGCGAGCCGCGAGCTGCTGCCGCGGCTGCACCTCCGCCGCCGCCGCCGCGATGCTCTCGAGCTGGGGCCTGGCTCCAGAGCCGTGGCCGATCTGCGGGTACGGGTGCCCGAGGCCGCACGCAGGACACAGGTCGGAAAACGAGAGCCGGTCCTCGCCGCCGCTCGCTCCTCGTGAGAGATGGTCGGCGCCGCCGCACGGGCAGTACCAGTCGTTGTGCAACGAGACCTGACAGAAAGGCAGCCCGCCGTACGCAAAGGCAGCGGCTGCATCCTGGAGCACGCCGGGGCCCTCAATGAAGGCCTCGAAGCAGCGGTTCAACCCCTTGGGCGCGACCGCCACGATCGTTGCCATTGGCAGCAGGTAGCGCAGCTCGCGCTCGAGGGCGGGCGGGTCACAGAGAGGGTGAACAAACCGGCCGCCGCCAAGCCAGAGCTGCAGCCGCTCCACCGACTGCGGCTGCGGCGGGCGGAAGACGGGGCGCGGCTGCGGCGGCGGCGGCGGGCCGCCGTGCACGCCGCCGCCGCCGAACGCGCCACCCCCGCCGCCGTAGCCGCCTCCGTAGCCGCCGCCGTGCACGCCGCCGCCGCCGAACGCGCCGCCCCCGCCGCCGTAGCCGCCTCCGTAGCCGCCGCCGTGCATGCCGCCGCCGCCGAACGCGCCGCCCCCGCCGCCGTAGCCGCCTCCGTAGCCGCCGCCGTGCATGCCGCCGCCGCCGAACACGCCGCCGCCGCCGAACACGCGTGGCGGCGCCTGCGGCTGCGGTGCGCGGGGGCGGCGGCGAGACGCCGCCTCCGCAGCCGCTGCGATGGAGCTTGGCAGCCCCGAGCCGCACTCTGGGCACACGTCGTCGTCGCCCCGGAGCGCAGCGCCGCCGCACGGACAGTACCACGTCTTGTTGCTCAGGGTGACCTGGCAGAAGGGCAGGCCCGCGGTGTTGCGAGCAAAGACAGCGGCTGCTTGCTGGAGCACGCCGCGGCCCTCGAGGAAGGCCTCGAAGCAGCCAGTCCGACCGAACGGTGTCACATGCACCGTGGTTGCGCAAGGCAGCACCTGGCGCAGCTCGCTCTCGAGGGCGCGCGGGTCGCAGAGGGGCGAAGTGCTGCCGCCGCCGAGAAAGAGCTGCAGCCGCTCGGCCGACGGAGCCGCCGGCGGCGGGCGCCGCCAGCCACCGCCACCCTCGTCCGCGCGCCCGCCGCCGCCGCCGCCGCCGCCCTCGGCCTCCGGCGGGCGCTTCTGGCCGGCGGCGGCGGCGGCGGCGGCGGCGGCGGCGGCGGTGGCGGCGGCGGCGGCGGCGGCGGCGGCGGCGGCGCGGCCGTCGTACTCGCGCCGCTTTTTCGAGTCGGAGAGCGTCTCGTGCGCCTCGTTGAGCTTCTTGAACGCCGCCTCCGCGCCGCCCGCCTTGTTCTTGTCGGGGTGCACCTCGAGCGCTAGCCGCTTGTACTTTTGCTTCGGCGCCGACGGGTCCGCGCTGACGGCTTCGGGGGTAAGGCCGAGCACCGCGTAGTGGTCGGAGGCCTCTAGGATGCGCTCGACCGCCTTGGCCCACTTTGTGCCAGGCCTGAACTCGATCAGGTCGTCCAGCGATTTGAGGAGCGCCTGCGCAGCGTTGGTCGGGTTCATGCGCTCACTCTTCTCGGCAAAGCGCTTCGCGCCGTCGAGATCGCCAGCGGCCAGCTTCCCCTGGGCGCGGCGCAGCGCCAGCGCCGCCTGCTCGGGGTCGAGGTTTGGCCCCAGGTTCTCCATCCTCGGGTGGTGGTTCCTCGGGTCGTCGTGGTGGTTCTGCGACCACTGCTCGCTCAAGCAGGTCGAGAAAAAATAATCTCCGATCCCTCCCTTCATTTGTCCCTTTTTTTTTTCCCTCGAGAGCCGGAAAAAGAGAAAAAGAAAACCCCGCTCGCAAGCCTCGCCGACACCCTTTACCGCGAGACAGAGGAGGAAGTGACAAGGGAGAGACCGACGAGAGTGGGACGGCCGCGAGGTGGCATGAAGGTTGCAGCGAGAAGCGGCGAGAGACTGCGAAAAGAGATACGAAGAGGCAGACTCCCCAGGGTGGGCGACGGCTAGCGCATCACACTCCTCTCCTTAAAATCCCTGTGTGGTGGCGGCGTGCCGTTCTCCCATCCCTCCCTTGGGTTGTGTGTTTTCTTTCTTTCTTTTACCCTTTACCGCTCGCTGCCGAGAGCTCGAACGCCGGTCGGCTCTGCCGCTCCAGCATCGCCACACGCCTCGCTGATACGCGACCGCACCCAGCGTTTCGCCGATGTCCGACGTGCCTTGTCCTCAATCTCTCCTCGGCGTCAAGACGTACTTTCTCCGCGCTGATGAGTTGGCCAAGGGCGGGAAACCGTACGTCGCGCACCGGCTGCGCAAGTTCGGAATCGAGCTCGCAATGAAGGTCAAGGGTCCGGACGCGTGAGTGGCCCGTAGATAGACCAAGCCTCGCCACGCATCGGGACACATCCATCGATGTCCGGCTCCCGGCAGCTCGATCTCACTCACCGTCTGCCCTCCCTCTTCTGCGCGTGTCGTAGCGGCCGTTACCTCAAACACACACACACACACACACACACACACACACACACACACACACACACACACACACACACACACACACACACACACACACACACACACACACACACACACACACACACACACACACACCCCGTCTGCCCTCCCCTCGCGTGTCGCAGCGGCCCTTACCTCCTCCGCCAGTTTGACCTGGTCGATCAGGAGAAGGCCGCCAACATCAAGTGCCCGCCCAGGAAACCAAAGCCTCCGCCCGCGCCCGCGCCCGCGCCTGCGCCGCCGCCAGAGCCTGCACCTGCACCGGCGCCAGAGGCTGCGAGCACAGGGGGCGGCAAGGAGGGGGAGGGGAAGGAGGGCGAGGAGGGCGGCGAGAAGAAGGAGGAGGGCGGCGACGAGAAGAAGGAGGGCGAGAAGGAGGGGGAGAAGAAGAAGGGGATCGGCGAGAAGGTTGCGGCGGCGGGAGAGAAGATGGCGCGCCTCGACCCGCCCCCCGCGAGTGCAGCTGTGGAGCCATGCTCGACCCTCGCGTGCGATCTGGCGCGGGTAGGCGATCTCTCTCAACCTCAAGGACTCGCCGGAGAAGAAGGAGAAGGCTGCGGCCGAGGCGGCGGCGGCGGAGAAGGCGGCGGCCGAGGCGGCGGCGGCGGAGAAGGCTGCGGCGGACAAGGCGGCGGCGGAGAAGAAGGCGGCGGAGGAGGCGAGGTACCCCAAGGCGCCGCCCGAGGTCGGGAGGAGGTGGAGACACGCCCGTGTGTCTCGGGGGAGTCTCGGCTGCCTCTCGCCTGTAGGCGCGGGTCGGACGAGGCGGAGAGTAACATAACCATCGTGGTCATACTCGAGCAACAATGAGAGTAGGAGCTCGAGTCGGACGAGGCGGAGGCGATCCGGCTGTGCGGTCTCGAGCTGTACGAGAGGGGCCGCGCCGCGGACAAGCCCGGCCAAGTGCCGTCTCCGAGCGTCAAGTGGGGGGTGATGGATGCCCCTCGCGTCGCGATGAGCCTGCACGCGGCGGCGGTGGTGAGGCCGAGCCTGCCTCCGCCTCTGCCCGTCCCCGGCCCTGCGCCCGGCCTGGCCGGAGGGACGCGTCCGAGACACGTCACCTTTCCGCCGCAAGGTGCTCGACTGCCTCAAGCTCTTCATGCCGCAGCTGCCCGCCGACCTCCTCCCCTTCCAGAGGGCCGCCCACCGCCGCTCGAACGACCTCGCAAAGCACATGCAAAACTACCGGGTGGGCGAGCCGATCCTCCCCCTCGAGTGGAAGCCTGCAGACATGAGCGCGGCGGTGCCGGTCCCCTGCCCGCCGCCGCCCGCGTTGCCGCCGTCCGCTTTCCCGTCGGCGCCGAGGCGATGACCATCAGTTGGCACAGGGGACACCGCGTGATCGGCACACAGCGGGGAACACCGTGTACGTTGGGGTGTGGGGGGGTCGGTGCCGTGTGAGGGGTGTGTCGCGTCGTAGACGTAGTGGATGTGTGTGTGACAAGCTCTAGCTGACCTGATGTTCGGCGCGTCGTCGTCGCAACAGACGGCGGCGCGCGAGATCCGGCGGCCTGGCAAAGCTACATGGCAAAGAGAAAGGGCAAAGCCAAAGGCGCGGCTCCGCAGGACAGAGAGGAGAGAGGCCGCTGCACGCGCGCGCTGGCCGGTGCGCGGTGCCGGTGCGCGGTGGGCGTGGCCGTGGGGGCTCGGGCTGGGGGGCAGCGCGAGCGATCTGAGCCCTGGTCCGACAGCCTGACAGCAAACCCCAGACAGCGCCTGACAGTGCCCGACAGCCTGACAGCGTTGACAGCACTTTCTCCGACAGCCTGACAGCACGTATCTGACAGCCTGACAGCAGAGCCTGACATCAGAGAGGTGACCCGTCGCTGTCAGGCTCTAACGTGACAGCCTGACAGCTGCCCGACAGCCCGACAGCACACAGTGGCCTGACAGCAGCGCTGACAGCCCGACAGCCCGACCAGCCCGACAGCAGCACAGACCGTACACAGGCTGTGCAGCCTCTTTCTTGTGCCCCATGAGGGTATAACAAAACTATTACATGCAAAGACATGTGAGTGTGGTCCATGTCCATGTAGTCATGTGGGATGGTCATGGGTCTCTCTTTCAACCCTCCCGCCCCACCTCTGCGGACCCGCGGCTGTGCTACTACACACCAGCTAGCCTTCTGGGGCCCTACAGATCAGTCATATGGCTAGGGTGGGGGTGGCCGCCGCCGTCTGTGCCGCCGCCGCCGCCTGCGCCTGCGCCGCCATCTGCGCTCCCCCCAGGCGGCCGCCGCCGCCGCCGGCACGGTAGACGCGCGCCGCGCCACTGGCAGCTCGAGCGCAGAGTACCTGCGCCAGCTCTCGATGAGTCAGCGCAGCAACGGGGTCTTCATCAATGACCCCAAGGGCCTCTTTATCCTCCGGTGGTGTACCGTGAGGTGAAGGGTGACGGGACCCCCCCAGACGGCCCGCACTACCAGAACAGAGCGTGCAAGAACTAACAAGCTGACGACTCGAGCGACAACGATGGGGAGGCCTTCCGCTGGACCAGCAACTACCAGATCATCAGCAAGGTGTACCTGAAGAAGCACTCCCTCCTTCCTCTCTGCTATTCTCTCAGTGCGGCAGACAAGAAGATGGTGACGTCCACCATGAAAAGGATGGTGGGACCGGAGGCAGAGTAGAGACTGAGTATGTGTAGTAGAGTCCTGCTGGTATCCTCTTGATAGTGTCATAAGTGTGGCTGGTGTGTGTCAGAGCCTGACAGCGCCCCGGACAGCACCACCTGACAGCTCCTGATAGCACCGGCCCTACGTCTGACAGCAGCAGCAGCCTGACAGCTCTGACAGCTCCGATAGCGTCTGACAGCAACACCCGACAGCTCCGACAGCACCCGACAGCTACAGATCACCTCTGGCTAGCCCTCTGATGTCAGACAAGCACCCGACAGCACCCGACAGCACCCGACAGCACTGACAGCACCTGACAGCTGGTCTGACAGAGGCACCTGACAGTGTCTGACAGCTGCCCGACAGCCCGACAGATCACCTGACAGCACCTGTGACAGCTAGACAGCCAGGCTAGTTCCATTTGGCACAGCTCGCGTTACAAAACCTTGATTTTGACCATTTGCGCCATTTTGTCCCTCTCGGTGCCTTCCAGAGGAAGCTGCGACCCCGCCGAGTAGACGGGCGCACACAGCAGGGGCGCGGTGTGCGCCCGTCCACTTGGCGGGGTCGCAGCTGCCTCTGCGCGTCCTGGGGAGGGACAAAAGTGTCGCCGCCGAAGGCGACTCGACGCCGCTGAGATCGGAGATCAAGCTCTGACAGGTCGCACGTCGCTCCTTTGACGCCGACGTGACTCACCCGTGCAGATCACATCAGGACACGGTCTCGACGCGCTCGGTACGACGCCTGCGACCCGTCTCGGGTCAGGTGGCACGACGCTCATCGCGCCTGCCAGCGCTGCCGTACAGGTTGCCACGACGAGGTCGAGCACGCTTCTATACGCTCGCCGAGCCTTCCTTTCCATCCAATTAGGCAGCCTGGGAACGGTGGCGGTCAGAGGCAAAGCCTACGAGGGGTGGTGGAACCACATGTCACGGCTACTGCCGGCTCGACCCCACGATAGCCTCCGAAGGCTGACTTTGAGGCACCATCATCGGACGATGTCGACGAGTTGGGTCGCTCTCGCGGTAGCCAGATGACCCTCCTATGCTAGTACCATCGGCTAGGGCCGCAGGAAGCGCGGGGGAGGGCGCTGGGAGCAACACAGAGCTCCGTTGGACGTTTTCAAGATTAGCGTGTCAGAGTGAAATGGAACTAGCCCCAGGGCTCAGCGAGCGATCCAGATCGGAGATCGAGATCGCTCCCGGGGACCGCGCGCGTGGGGACACTCTTTTTTCTGCGAATTGACGAACATTTGCAGCCTCGAGGGCGCTACAACTTTGTGGTGTGTTGTGCTTTGCTTGGAAACACTAAAAACACATCGTGACACGTGAGACGTGAGAGCAGTCTTGCATCTGGATTTACCCCCACCTTGGCGATCCAGGACGACTGTTGAACAAAGACTCACAGACAGGAAGCGAGGCGCGCCTCTACCAGCCATCTACTGACCGCTCCCATCCATCTAGCGGCCAAGAACGGGTCGTCGCATGCGCCAGGAAGGAGGAGGGCGCCGCCGCCGCCCCTCCCACGGCGGCCACGCCTGCCGACGCTCCTGCACGGGCGCCACTCGCGGCGGGACACCCCGGCTCCGCCTCGAGCTCGTCCGCGAGCACAGTTTCCGCCGAGGCGGTGGCCTGCGCCTCGGCCTGCGCCTCGGCCCACCCGTGCAGCGCTCGCCTCCACGCCTTGACCCGGCCGTCAAAGCAGCGCTTGGAGACGCTCTCGGTGATGTCGGGCGTGCGCGGGTGATCGCGCCCTCGCTGCTCCTTGGGCACGGCGCGGAGGTACGCGGCGTACTCCGGCGTGTCCTTGCCGTACTCGATCTGCTTCTTCCGCTGCTGCAGCCGCTGTGCCGCCGCGTCGGGATCAGAGAGCACACACACCGCCCGCCATCCGTCCGAGGTGCCGCCGCCGTCAGCGTCGTCGCCGACGCGGCGCCGCTCCTCCTGCGCGAAGCCGCACGCCATAGAGGGAGTCCTCGTGACCGCTCTGTTGCCGACGCGACGGCAACAGCGCGCGCTCTTGCGAGAAGACGATTTGTTTCTTTTTCTGCCGGTGCTCGCTCAATGCTCGCCCTCCTGACATCCATCGCCTCGCTAGTGTGCGCCGCGCACGACGCTGCTCCTCCGCCCGGACTCCTCGTGGGTGCGCCCGCTTGGCCCCTACGCCGCAGCAGTATCCTCGTGAACGCACGAGCATGTGGGCACTAGAGCCTCTCACACCGGACACCGCGGTCCGCGCTGTCCTGCAAGACATCACTGAGCGTGTTGTGTGTGCGAGTGCGTGTGGTCCCCCCTCCCCGCGCGCCGCGGGGACACCTCGCGCCACTGCTCTGCTGCACGGGGCAGGTTTAGTGCGTTTCGCGCAAGAGGTTTTCTTGTTGCATGTTGGAGATGTGACTTGTCATTTAATCCACAAGTCTTCTCACTTCTCTCTCCACGGCTCCAATCTAAACAAGACCATGCATGGCTCTTGTACTGGCTACTACCCTGTGGCTGTGCGCTCCTCTCTCGACTCTGCTCTCTCTCGCGCGAAACTCTGCGCGGCTAATGCACGGACAAGTCGAACGGGGTGGAGATGCTGCACACCCCGCCGCACAGTCACGGCCCCCAGTAGATGGCGTGTCAGCTCGCGCGTCAGGGGGTGCCGCCCTCGCCCGCGGCCTTCGAGCGGGCCGGCTTGCGGCCGAAGCTGAAGACGCGCGTGAGCTTCTCGCCCGCCTTGGCCGCTTCCGCCTTCGCGCGCTCCGCCGCCGCCTTTGCGCCCGCGAGGCGGTCGGTCTGGCCGGGGGAGGAGAAGTCGGGCGCCACGTCGTCCGAGACGAGCATCGCACTGCGCTGCTCGAGGGAGAGGGCGTGGAAGCCGCCTGCGCACGGGCGGACGAGGCGCCGTCGCTCCCCCGGCTCGCAAGCGGCGAGGGGCGCGGGGAGGGGAGACTTCCCTGCAGCACGCCGAGGTTGGCGAAGCCGTCCGCGAGGAACTCGTCCACGATCTCGCGGACGAGCTGCGCCCCAAGCCCGGGGGTGCCCTTGTCAGTGCGCGGGTCTCCGGACGTGAGCAGCGCGGGAGCAACGCCGCCGTCGTCGCAGATCTCGCGCAGCTCCGCGCGCACCGCCTCCCGCACCTCCGGCCGCTTCGCCTGCCGGGCTGTCGACACGTCATGGACGTGTCGTGGACGTGCCTCCCGCACCTCTGGCCGCGTCGCCTCGGCCGGCGGCAGGTGCCGCGTCAGCGCGAAACAGCCGCGCTTGTGCTCCGCCTCGGGGCGTAAGTCGACCACCCACCGGCGCAGCCGGCCGGGCGTGTGCAGGGACGGGTCGAGCTCGTCGCCTAGCCGGCACCTCAACCGTCAGCACTCCCCAACGCATTGGTTGGGACGGGGCGAGCCGCGCCGCCCTGCAGCCAAGCGACGGAGTACGGCGGCGGCATCGGCTGGTCCGCCGCCCACGCGTCGGCGACCGCCGCGGCAAGCCCGTGCGGCAAGCTCGCGTGCGCGGCGCACGCCTCCTCGTGCAGCAGCTGCGCCTGTTCAGAACCGAGTCACGAATCACCGACGAGTCAATGGAGCGGCGCACGCCTCCTCGTGCAGCAGCTGCGCCTCGCGCGGCGTGGAGAGGCGCAGCTGCGTGAAGGCTGGTAGCAGCGAGTCGGGCGGCATGGCGAGCAGCGACTCCTAGAAGGTTCTTAGAAGGTTCCTAGAGGGTTCCTAGACGGCTCCTAGAAGAGGCATGGCGAGCAGCGACTCCTTGCCTCGAGCCAGGAGGCAGACGAGCAGGACGGGCGTGTGTGCGCGCGGGAAGGCGACCTCGGCGGGGATGGAGAAGAGGCACAGCTCGATCAGCCGGAGGTGCGCCGCCGCGTCCGTGTGCGTGCCGAGCAGCGAGGTGAGCGCGCGGCCCAGCCGGACCGAGAGAGGAGGCTCGGCCGCTTGCAGGTGCAGGGCGAGCGCGGGCTGCAAGTAGCGGAGCAGCACCCACAACCAGAGGAGCAGCGCCTGGTTGGGCGGCTGCGCCGGGACGTGGACCTGGCCCTGCACCGTCGCCGTCACCGGCATGCCCCACGGCTTGCCTGCCACCAAGCTCCTCGGTGTCTAATCACTGGTGTCTGGTAGTTCATCACCACCTCGCGTGCCCCGCGGCATGCCTGCCATCAGCGCGGGGGAGAGGCGGCCGAGGCAGGCGCACACGCAGTTGAAAAGGTCGGACCTAACTCACGGATTGCGAATGGTTCATCCTCCACTGCCAATGGATGGGCGCACATGCAGCGGAAGAGGTGTCGGACCGCTGCCCGCGCAGCGCCTCGCGCGTCACCGACCCGCCCCCCGCCTCGAGGGCGGCGGACCCCGCCCCGTGCGCGACCAGGAGCAGGAGGGGGGCGAGGAAGGGGGCGAGGCCGAGCTCGGGCGAGTACGAGAGCGAGAGCGACTTGAGCAGCAGCTGCAGCACCGCCACCCCCTCCTCCTCGAGCGCAGACGCCGCCTCCGCTGGGAAGCCGTCGCCGTCGCCAACCACGCAGGGTCCAACCGCGGCCTCCACCGCCGTGTGCATGTCCGCCACCAAGTCCGCCACCCCTCGCAGCGGCGTCGCCAGCAGCATGCGCACCTCCCGCCGAGAAGCAGCCGAGATGCAGCCGAGATGTAGCCGAGAGGTAGCCGAGGGGTGGCCGAGAGGTGGCCGAGATGTAGCCGAAATGTAGCCGAGAGGTAGCCGAGGGGTGGCCGAGATGCAGCCGAGAGACAGAGATAGCGGCGAGCGGCATGCGCACCTTGGCCGCCTCCGCCGCCAGCGGAACCATCGACTCGACCTGCAGCAGCCGCTTCCACAGCGCCCATCGCACCGGAGGCGAGACGCCGACCAAAGCGAGGGCGCGCTGGGCCTGCGGGGGCAGGGGCTCGACGGAGCCGCCGTCGGCGCCTGTTCACAGCGCTCTGCGTCTCGCCCTCGCCCTCTCTGCTTGGTGGGAGGGGCTCGACGCGTCTGGCGCCCGGCGCGAGCCACGCGGCGAGCTGCTGCTGGTGGGCGGCGTCTGCCTCGAGGACGGCGGCCTGGGCAAGGGGAGGGGCAGCTGGTGATTGAGAGGGCGGGGAGGAGGGCCTGGGGGAGGGGGGGAGGCAGCGAGTGCGGAAGGGGCTCCTAAGGGGTGGGTGTAAAGGAGGAGGAGGGGGGGGGGGGGGGGGGCTGCGCGCGCTCTGCGCCTCGATCGCGGCGTCCGCCTGCTCGCCGCTTGCTCCGGCGACCCCCTCCGCCTCGACGCCGCACGCCGCCAGAGCGGCGAGCTGCGCGCCGCGCGGCAGCAGCTGCGGCTGCAGCTGGAAGGCCTCCCCGCTGAGGACGAGGAGGGACTCGGCGCTCCACGTCGCCTGGGAGGGAGGGCCAGAGGGAGGGCCCCAAGCAGGCTCCGAGACGGCGCGAGGGCAGGGGGCTGTGCAAGGGGGGAAGGGGGCTGTGCAAGGGCGAGGAGAGAGGGGGCGGCGCGCGCAACCTCGTCGGCGACCCCGCCCTCGCCGCCGCCCCCGCCGCCCTCGCCCGCCTCCTCCTCCCCCCCCGCCTCGAGCAGCGACGCGTTGATCGCGCGAGCCAGAGCCGCATCCTCCGCCTCCTCCGCCTCGGCAGCGGCCTCGTCCCGCCCGCCCTCCAGCTGGCCCGACAGCGAGCGAGCGAGCGCCTCGTCCGCAGCCTCGTCGACCTGCTCGCGGGCCCGAGCCGCCTCCGCCGCCTCGGCCGCCTCGGCCGCCGCCGCCACCGCAGCCGCCTCCGCCGCCGCCGCCGCCTCTGCGGCCGCCTCCGCCTCCGCGCCCGCCGCCGCCGCTTCTGCCGCCGCCGCCGCCTCCGCCGCCGCAGCCGCCTCCGCTGCCGCAGCCGTCGGCGCCTCCTCCACCGCCGGCGGCGGCGGAGCGATCCCGAGCAGGTCCTCCAGCAAGCCCTCCTCTGCGGCTTGCGGCGGCGGCGGCGGCGGCGCTGCTTGCGGCGCGGGCGCGGCGAGCTCGGGTGCTTCGAGCTCGGCCACGGGCGGGGCGAGAGAGGCGAGGGGGATGGCGGGGTCGGAGAAGAGCGCGACCGGCGGCGGCGCCGCCGCCTCCTCCGACGCCACCGAGAAGAGGGAGTCGAGCCCGTCTGCCAGCCCGGCAGCAGCCAGGCCTGCGGCGGGCGCCGAGGCAGGCGAGGGGGCGGGCGTGGGCGAGCCGAGGAGGCCATCCAGGCCGTCAAAGGCGGCGGCCGCGGCCGGCGCAGGCGGCTGCGGCGGCGGCTGCGGTGGCTGCGGCGGCTGCGGCGGCAGAGCGCCGCCGAGGAGGTCCGAGCTGCTCCCGAGCAAGTCGACGAGCGGCGTCGCCGGGACTGCCGGCTCCGGCTCGAGAGCGCCAAGCAGGTCCGTTGCCGGCGCCGGCGCCGCGGTCTCGGGCGGTGGCGGCGGTGGCGCCGGCGCGGCCGGCGCGGAGGCGGCCGGTGCCGCGGCGGCCGGTGCCGGCGCGGCGGCCGGTGCCGGCGCGGCGGCCTTGAGCGCCTGCTCGGCGGCGTCGAGGTCGCAGCCGCATGCGTTGAGGGCCTCCTTGCACGCTTTGAGGTCGAAGGCCTTCCCGACGCGCGCCTGCAGATCCTTGATTTGCGAAAAGCTCGCGGTCGGCATGGGTGTGATTCTCGGTGTGATTTTGAGTCCGCGGCCAAGACACTGTGTCCTCCACGGCGCCGATGAGGGAGGCGCCGGGCGTTTCTTTTTCAGTGCGTGCGAGAAGTCCCGTGCCGAGTGTTGTGCGAGGGAGCTTTGTTGTAAAATTCTTTTTCAACTTGGCGGGCCTTCCACCCCTCTCGGGTCATTTAGTCCCCACATTTCGCACAGAGGGCACGCGAGGTACGACCGTGCCCGGCCGTGCTATTAAAGCGACTCGGCTCTCTAACAGGCTGCAGCCCAGAGCCACACGGAGTCTACGCGCATCGCTTGTGCATAGCCTCGACCAATCTCCTGTTCACGGTGCAACCGTGAACAAAGAGCTTCTTCGAACCGTTACAAACACGACGCGAGCCGCCCAGCAGGGAGCCTGGGCGACTCGCTTTGACGCTGGCCAGGCCGGAGGCGAGTGCCGCCGCCAGGCCACGACCGACCGCGCCCGTCCTACGGACGGGCGCAATGGGCCAAACGGATCCGCGCCGCAGTGCATGCAGCACCGCGCCGCCAGTCCAATACATGCAAACCGCAGGCTTTGCAGCGAGGACCAGCCTGCTCAGCTTCGGACGAGGAGCCAGCAGCCAACAGGAGGACAGCAGTCGTCCACGCCAGCTGGAATGCGAGGACCGCCCCAGCCGCAGGTGGCCCCATACGTAATGCTTTGCGCAAAGCACCGTGCAAAAATGGCGTCTTTACATGGCCATGCAGCAAGCAGTGCCGCCAGATGAGCACACGGCCATGGGCGAAGTGCACCCGCAGGGCCAGCTGGCATTGCGTGGTGCACTCGCAAATCAACCCGCCCTCTCGTGCCAAGGACGGCGCGAGGGGAGCGCGAGCATCCACCAGCAGCCGTCTGGCTGCTGGTGTGAGCCATACTCAACACGCCGCGCGGAGCGGAGTGCGGAGCCATGAATGAGCAGTAGAGCCTGCGCCTTGAAGCACGGCCTGCGGCCCCTACCCTGCCGTCGGCCCGCCACTGGCGGCGTCGAGGACAGTTCGAGACGGTGTGCGGTGTCAGCCTGTGAGGCGCACTGCACTCGAACTGCACTAGTGGAAGCACCAACACGGCCCTCGGGCTGTTTGGGGACCCGGACGCCAGCGGCCCCCCGGGAGAGGGGTGTCCTGGTTGTGTCTTGTCTGAGTGCCAGCGCACGCAGCTATCTTAACGGCGTGAGGTCAGCAAGAACCCTCGCGGCGTAGTGCAGTCTGTGAGGGTGTGTGCCTGCACGGATTGCACAAGTAACAAATCACTCCTGTCGGCATTCCTCCGGAACGGGGCGACAGAACACGTGTTATTCCGTAGTCGGGATGACCACAAATCGTCAGGGCACTCAAGAAGAGGCCAGCCGGCACTTCGAGCTGCGCTCGACATGGGGATGCGCACAGTCAATATATGTCAATGCGCGCCGCGCGAGCGAGTCTAAAGACTCGGTCGCGAACTTTCCGAGAAGGAAGACAAGTGGGGCGGCGGCGTCGATAGATATCGACGCCGCCGTCGCCGCGCATCATGACGAGTTCGCATTCCCCATGTGACCCTCTATACCTCACCTTCGAGACAAGCCAGGGTTCAACCCAATGGACCTAGTGTGGCGTCGAGGCCCGCACTGTCTGGACATGCGGGCCGCGGCTGACAGAACGGCGGGCTAGGCATTGAGAGCCCAGGAGTTTTAATTCGCACAGAGGGCACGCGAGGTACGACCGTGCCCGGCCGTGCTATTAAAGCGACTCGGCTCTCTAACAGGCTGCAGCCCAGAGCCACACGGAGTCTACGCGCATCGCTTGTGCATAGCCTCGACCAATCTCCTGTTCACGGTGCAACCGTGAACAAAGAGCTTCTTCGAACCGTTACAAACACGACGCGAGCCGCCCAGCAGGGAGCCTGGGCGACTCGCTTTGACCTCCCCCCCCGCCCCACAGTGCGCCAGCGGCGCATTTGGGATGGACACCACACGTCGTCACACCGAGCAGCTCTCTGTCAACGGAAATTTCTCAGTTCTGATGCGTCATCCGGATGGAGCAACTGGCTTTGCTTAGATTGGGAGTCCTTTTGCTATGTGCTCTACGCGGGGAACTATGCCTCTTTTAGCCTCATCCTGCAGGCGATAGCCCAGCCCGCGTGCAGCGGTGGCGGCGACACTTGCAACACGAGCACGCCTCGCTTCGGCGCGCTCGATCCTTCACAACGGGCCGCCCGCAAGGACGCGTGTGCGGCCCTCTCTACTCGACCTGTGCCACGGCACGGGTCGTTCTAGTCATGCAGCCGCCCCGGCGATCGTGCTCGGGGCGTATCTCAGCACTCACCGCGCGAGACGCGTGGAGTGCCACACAAACCAGTAAACAGCAGCCTCCGCTGCTGCGACTCGAATGCTTCAAACGCGCACCTGTGCTTGCGCACGGCGTGCTCTACACGAGCCCCCCGGCCGCACGAGCGTACGGGCGGCTCGAATCCAACCTTCCCCCGCCCTAGCCACTGTTGGCTGGGCGGTGGGTGCCGTCCGCCTTGCGGCGGCGGCGACACTTGCAACACGAGCACACCTCGCTTCGGTGTGCTCGATCCTTCACAACGGGCCGCCCGCAAGGACGCGTGTGCGGCCCTCTCTACTCGACCTGTGCCACGGCACGGGTCGTTCTAGTCATGCAGCCGCCCCGGCGATCGTGCTCGGGGCGTATCTCAGCACTCACCGCGCGAGACGCGTGGCGTGCCACAAACCAGTAAACAGCAGCCTTCGCTGCTGCGACTCGAATGCTTCAAACGCGCACCTGTGCTTGCGCACGGCGTGCTCTAAGAGCCTCCCTACCGCACGAGCGTGCGGGCGGCTCGAATCCACCTTTCCCCGCCCTAGCCACTGTTGGCTGGGCGGTGGGCGCCGTCCGCCTTGCGGCGGCGGCGACACTTGCAACACGAGCACACCTCGCTTCGGCGCGCTCGACCCTTCACAACGGGCCGCCCGCAAGGACGCGTGTGCGGCCCTCTCTACTCGACCTGTGCCACGGCGCGGGTCGTTCTAGTCATGCAGCCGCCCCGGCGATCGTGCTCGGGGCGTATCTCAGCACTCACCGCGCGAGACGCGTGGCGTGCCACAAACCAGTAAACAGCAGCCTTCGCTGCTGCGACTCGAATGCTTCAAACGCGCACCTGTGCTTGCGCACGGCGTGCTCTACACGAGCCTCCCGGCCACACGAGCGTGCGGGCGGCTCGAATCCACCCTTCCCCCGCCCTAGCCACTGTTGGCTGGGCGGTGGGCGCCGTCCGCCTTGCGGCGGCGGCGACACTTGCAACACGAGCACACCTCGCTTCGGCGCGCTCGACCCTTCACAACGGGCCGCCCGCAAGGACGCGTGTGCGGCCCTCTCTACTCGACCTGTGCCACGGCGCGGGTCGTTCTAGTCATGCAGCCGCCCCGGCGATCGTGCTCGGGGCGTATCTCAGCACTCACCGCGCGAGACGCGTGGCGTGCCACAAACCAGTAAACAGCAGCCTTCGCTGCTGCGACTCGAATGCTTCAAACGCGCACCTGTGCTTGCGCACGGCGTGCTCTACACGAGCCTCCCGGCCACACGAGCGTGCGGGCGGCTCGAATCCACCCTTCCCCCGGCCTAGCCACTGTTGGCTGGGCGGTGGGCGCCGTCCGCCTTGCGGCGGCGGCGACACTTGCAACACGAGCACACCTCGCTTCGGCGCGCTCGATCCTTCACAACGGGCCGCCCGCAACGACGCGTGTGCGGCCCTCTCTACTCGACCTGTGCCACGGCACGGGTCGTTCTAGTCATGCAGCCGCCCCGGCGATCGTGCTCGGGGCGTATCTCAGCACTCACCGCGCGAGACGCGTGGCGTGCCACAAATCAGTAAGCAGCAGCCTCCGCTGCTGCGACTCGAATGCTTCAAACGCGCACCTGTGCTTGCGCACGGCGTGCTCTACACGAGCCTCCCTACCACACGAGCGCGCGGGCGGCTCGAATCCACCCTTCCCCCGCCCTAGCCACTGTTGGCTGGGCGGTGGGCGCCGTCCGCCTTGCGGCGGCGGCGACACTTGCAACACGAGCACACCTCGCTTCGGTGTGCTCGATCCTTCACAACGGGCCGCCCGCAACGACGCGTGTGCGGCCCTCTCTACTCGACCTGTGCCACGGCGCGGGTCGTTCTAGTCATGCAGCCGCCCCGGCGATCGTGCTCGGTGCGTATCTCAGCACTCACCGCGCGAGACGCGTGGCGTGCCACAAACCAGTAAACAGCAGCCTTCGCTGCTGCGACTCGAATGCTTCAAACGCGCACCTGTGCTTGCGCACGGCGTGCTCTACACGAGCCCCCCGGCCGCACGAGCGTACGGGCGGCTCGAATCCACCCTTCCCCCGCCCTAGCCACTGTTGGCTGGGCGGTGGGCGCCGTCCGCCTTGCGGCGGCGGCGACACTTGCAACACGAGCACACCTCGCTTCGGCGCGCTCGACCCTTCGCAACGGGCGCCCGCAAGGACGCGTGTGCGGCCCTCTCTACTCGGCCTGTGCCACGGCACGGGTCGTTTTAGTCATGCAGCCGCCCCGGCGATCGTGCTCGTGGCGTATCTCAGCACTCACCGCGCGAGATGCGTGGCGTGCCACAAACCAGTAAACAGCAGCCTTCGCTGCTGCGACTCCATGCTTCAAACGCGCACCTGTGCTTGCGCACGGCGTGCTCTACACGAGCCTCCCGACCGCACGAGCGTGCGGGCGGCTCGAAACCACCCTTCCCCCGGCCTAGCCACTGTTGGCTGGGCTGCGGGCGCCGTCCGCCTTGCGGCGGCGGCGACACTTGCAACACGAGCACACCTCGCTTCGGTGTGCTCGATCCTTCACAACGGGCCGCCCGCAAGGACGCGTGTGCGGCCCTCTCTACTCGACCTGTGCCACGGCACGGGTCGTTCTAGTCATGCAGCCGCCCCGGCGATCGTGCTCGGGGCGTATCTCAGCACTCACCGCGCGAGACGCGTGGCGTGCCACAAACCAGTAAACAGCAGCCTTCGCTGCTGCGACTCGAATGCTTCAAACGCGCACCTGTGCTTGCGCACGGCGTGCTCTACACGAGCCTCCCTACCGCACGAGCGTGCGGGCGGCTCGAATCCACCCTTCCCCCGCCCTAGCCACTGTTGGCTGGGCGGCGGGCGCCGTCCGCCTTGCGGCGGCGGCGACACTTGAAGCGGTCGCGGCGCGTATGCGTCGTACTGTTAGGGCGGCCGGGCCCGAAGACGGCCCGGCCAGGCTCTGCATAAGGCCATCTTCGCCACAACGCGTGGCATTGGTCCAACTACGGCAACCCACAGCGAGGGGGGCCGCTTAGGCGACCTTGCTCACATCAGCTGCGTATGCTTCAGTGGTGCAAGGAGGAGTGGAGAGGGACCTTTGACGGTGTCTGGCCCATGCGGGTTGGCACGTACCTAGTTGTGCGCATATGCGTACGCGACCGTTTTGGAGCGCGGGGCGGCGGCGTCGATAGATATCGACGCCGCCGTCGCCGCGCATCATGACGAGTTCGCATTCCCCATGTGACCCTCTATACCTCACCTTCGAGACAAGCCAGGGTTCAACCCAATGGACCTAGTGTGGCGTCGAGGCCCGCACTGTCTGGACATGCGGGCCGCGGCTGACAGAACGGCGGGCTAGGCATTGAGAGCCCAGGAGTTTTAATCGCTGTCGTGGGATCGCTTGTCATGTGAGAGAGTGCTTCTTTCACGTTTTGTTTGGTGAGCCGGTGTGTGTACCAGTCCGCGCCAGTCCGCGCCTTTCTCGTGCCAGTGTGCTGTGAGAGAGCCAAATATGTTTCTCTTTTCGCCAGTGTCGCGCGAGCGCCCACAGCGCAGGCGACGCAAACGACTCCTCGCCTTCCTCACTAGCGCCCATGCGGTCGGGGCTCCGACGCCTCGCTGTGCCCGCTGCGCTGACCGCTGCCGCGACGACGGCGCTCGGTGCCGGCCGCTTGGTGGCCTCTCAGAGCGGTCACGTCGCCGCGGCGAGCGCGGAGGCCGACGCCTCGCCGGCGATCGACGCGGACTCGGCGGCGGCGTCTCCGAGCGGCGAGCGGCGTCCTCCGCCCGCCTGGGTGGCGCACCGTCACCCGAGCATCCTGATCAAATACTTTGACGCTCGAGGCGTGATGGAGGTCAGCCGGCTCGCCCTCGCGCTGGGCGGCGTCGCCTTCACCGAGACGCGCTGGCCGCTCGACGTCTCCAAGATGGAGGACGGGCTCGCGGTGGCGGCGCCAGAGTACTGCGCGGCGGTGGACAGCGGCGAGCTGGACGCAAACCTCGGACGCGGGCCGGTGGTGGTGGTGGGGGGCGAGACCGTGCTCGCCCAGTCCAAGGCGATCGAGCGCTTCTTCGCGCGCATGCTCGGGCTGATGGGCGAGGACGAGCTCTCCGCCGCCGCGGTGGACGCCTTCACTGAGCACGTGCGCGACCTCAAGGAGAAATACCAGCGGGCGCGCGGCGCGGGCGGAGCCGAGCGCGAGCGCGCGCTCGCCGACTTTTATGGGCAGACGCTGCCCGACTTTCTGCAGCAGCTCGAGAAGACGGTCGCGCCGGGCGGGCACGTCGTCGGCGGCCACCTGTCGCTCGCCGACGTGACGCTGTACCAGACCTTCACCGACTACTTCGACGACCCGGCCAAGGCGGCGGCGGCGATGCTCGGCTGCCCGCGGCTGCTGGCCGCCTTTGACGCCGTCGAGTCGCACCCGAGAGTGAAGCAGTACATGGCGGGACGCAAGCAGACGAGGCTGTGAGATCGGGGTGTGTGACCCTCGTCCCGCCCATGACCGAGGTGTAGCGCCAGTCGTCGCGGGTTGTCCCCGCATGTGGTCCATGGCCTGTCGCTGCGTTGAAGCGTTCAGTCTAGTGTCTAGGATTACGTGTTCCACTGTGTGTGCTGTGGAGGTGTTCACTGTCTGTGCATGCTTTCAAGACGAAAATCGGCAACACGTAAAGGCTAAAGGCCGCAGCGACAGCGAGAGAGCGTGTCCCGTGAGCTGTGTGTGTCTCCCCGCGCTCGCGCGCGCTCGTGTGTCATACACTGACGGCGGAGCGTGAGATCCGCCCCGCGCTCAGGCGCCGCACCTCATAGTCGACGGCGCAGCAGCCCGGCACGCCCTCATACGCAGTGTTCTGGCTCGTGAAGTAAAAGGGCTGGCAGAAGCAGTTGCCGTGTACTCGCCGCATGCACCAGGGGCGCTTGCACGGCGCTTCCGGAGGGAGGCCGGGAATGGTCTGCCAGCCGATCAGGCAGTCGCCGCCGCACGAAGTCAACTGCGACGGAAACGTGTTTGTGTGGGCAACGGGTGCATGTGATTGCAAAGGGCAGGTGCGAACCTCAAGGATTGTTCCGTACGGCCCCTCCCATTCGCCTGTCAGGTCACGGCAGTCCATGCCTTGAGGCATCGGCGGCGGCGTGGCATTCAGGCAGTGGATGCCCCGAATGGGCCGAGTAGCGCGGAGCGGGGCCTTCTCGGAGGCGTCGCCCGAGGAGTAGCGCTCAGGCGTCATCATTTGTATCGCTGCGAGGGGCCACGCGAGTTCACGCGAGTTCAGGGGACGTCCGGACCCCCGCGGCTATGGGTCCCCCACCCCAGGATAACTGTTAGTTGGCAAAGCAAGACACAGAGCTCACACAAAATCGGATACTGGCGTGGCACCAGCTAGCACATAACAAGAAAAGAAAATCCCGCAAAATGGGGGGGGGGGGGCGCACCCGAGTTCAGTCAGTTCAGAGACAGAGACTTTCTTCGAGTTCAGTCAGAGAGAGAGAGATTTTTAGTTTGTTCGAGTTCAGATTAGGACGTCCAGACCCCCCGCCCCAATATATGGGTCACCCCCCCCCCCCCCAGGATGACTTGAGCACTTGAGCACTGGATAGGGTCGATTCCGCATGGTACGGGACCCCTCGAACAGGATGACTGTGTATTAGATGTATTGTTGGCGTGCACAGCACTAGCTCGCCGTAATAAGTCCGCCTTATATCAATTCATGCGAGTGCGTCTCATGCGCAAGTGCATGTACGATGCTGTGCCGCCACCGACCGTCTGTGGGCTGTGACCGGTCTCAATGTCCCACCCCCTCTGCGCGCGGGCCTTCTAGGCCCCGCGGGTAGTCTCCCCCCATCCCCAGGGCCTCCAGGGCTCGGGGGCTCGCACCTCAACCTCTCATAGATAGACCAGCGCGCAGCGCCATCTGAGGGAGGGTGTAGAGGATGTAGAGCTGTAGAGAGCGCTGTAGAGCTGTAGAGCTGTAGAGCGCTGTAGAGCTGTAGAGCTCTACATCCGCCGCGGGACGAAGCGCCTCCCTTGTAGAGCGATGTAGATGCGCTCTACAACGTGAAATCTCTACAACAAACTCTACATCATAAGCGGCGAACGAGGCACGGTCGCTCTCCGACATGAGGCGCGTTGCACTTGCCAGTGCTGCGCTGGCCTTCTGTCTGCCCGCCCAATGGGTAGGAGGTGCCTCTGCTGCTGTGGCATGCCTCACGGCTGCGACTGGCCGGCGCCTCGGCGCGTCAGCTCGGCTCGGCGTAGCGATCGTGGCCAGCGCAACTCACCTGGACTCAACGCTCAGCCAGGAGCTCCCGCACACGCTGGCGCGAGTCATGGCGCATGCAACGCGTCTGAATGCTCGCCTCGCCTCGCGCAAATGCGACCGTCCTCGCAGCCGACAGTCCACCGCCTGCTAAAGAAGCACAGCGACGAATGCGGCACCGGCGACGCATGGCAGGCTGGTCATGACGCAGTTATAGGGTGTTGTGAGAGAGATTTTTTCTTCTTCTTGTGTTGTGTGCCGTCAGAGAGAGTGACAACAAAACAAACAGAGAGAGACTCTCTGTGTGTCAGGGATAGTCAGGGCCGTCCATCAGAGCTCCAGTAAGCTCGGAGACACCCCATTAGCGCGGCTCGACCTCTTTGAGTCACTGCCTTCCCGGCGGTTTGCTTTGGCTGTGAGCGCCATTGTTTCACGAGAGAGAGAGAGAGAGAGACTCTCTCTCTCTCTCTCTCTCTCTCTCTCTCTCTCATTGTTTCACACGAGCAACGAGAAGGTAGATGCGTGCCGTGAATAATTAGAGTCACGGCCGTCGAAAAACGTCTCACACAGCTTGCTTGATGTCGATGAGCTTCTCCCTTGACCAACCCACGGAGGCGGACGCCACAGAGGCGGGGTTGCCCTACGTGCTGATTGAGGCTGCCGCGCCGCACGCGATAGTCTTCTCCAGCCCGTCTTGGGCAGCCATGGTCGGGCTCGTAGACAACGACGATGCGGTCGGCAAGTCGCTGGACCTCTTCTCCGGACCCGGCACGGACACTGAGGAGCTCCGCCGGCTGCTGGTCGCGGCGCGATCATCGCGGCCTTACGAGGCTGATATCATCTCGTACGACATGCAGAAGCAGCCCTTCCGCCACACTCTGTCGCTGCGGCCGGTCATGGCGCCATCCAGCGTCCTCTCACTCCTCCGAGCCGAGAGCCGGAACGTGGCGCCGCTCAGCAAGGGCGCAAACGGGCGGCGGGCGCGCGGGCGAGAGGCCGTCTCGGCGACGAGCCTGAGCCTGCAGGCCGAGGTGCTCTCGTTCAACCCTCCTCCGACTCCGAGCGGCGCGATGACTGTCATAACTCAAGGTCACGCGCCGTACTCGGTGCTCTGGGCCTCGCCCGCCTGGCTCTCGCTGTGCGGCTTCACCGCGGTCGAGCTGATGGGCGACTCTCTGCGCTGCATCCAGGGGCCGGGCACCGACGCCGTCAAGATCCAGGCGCTGATGGCCGCCGTCGCGAGGCGCGAGGCGGTCTCGGTCGAGAAGCTGGTCAACTACGACAAGCACAAGGTGCCCTTCGTGCAGAACCTGAGCGTGGAGCCGATCAGCACGCCGCGCGGCACCTTCTTCCGCGCCTCCTCCTCCGCCGTGTGCCGGCTCGGCCCGCCACTCGCCCAGCCGAGCGACGTCTGGTGGGGCGACGCCTTTGAGCAGCACCTCGCCGCCTGGGAGGAGCTCGACCGGCAGTGGGCGAGCAGGAGGGGCGAGAGGGCGCGCGCGGAGGGGCGCGTGGGCGTGGCGACGTAGCGCGCGCCTCATATCGCGGCGCGGCAGCGGCGTAGGAGCGCGGAGCGGTCCGTGCCTCAGGCGGAGCCGAGCAGTAGTTGTGTGTACGGTTCCGAGCTGGCGGTGGCGTTCCGAGGCGGAGGGTGGGGACGAGAGTCAGAGTTGTGGAGTGATGGTGTGTCGTTCTCATGATTCAAAAAGCGACAGAGTTTGAAAAAACGATTGACTCGACTCGCCACTCTGTCTCTCGACCTCTCGCCTCGCTGCGTGTGTCCCCCTCGCGCCTCGGCTCTGGCCTCTGGCGCTCTGGGGGCTGGGGCGAGCAGTGTGCAAACTTTACCGGTATGAGACCGGTATTTGGCGATATTTTGATTAACTTTGGAGTGGTATGGTATAGTGGTATGCGAAAGTGGTATGCGGGGTTTTCATTAGTTGTAGCGGCTGTCGGTGTGGTCCCGGGGGCGAAACCATGCGCAAAAGTGCGGGTATTACCCGGGTATACCCGGGTTTTTCCAGGTATACCCGCAAAATACCCGGTATTTTGCCGATTTTGCCGATTTTGCCACCAAGAAGGCACTCCGACTCGCTTTGATTTCCGTGAGGCAACTGGTATCCCGTACCACTTTTTGATTAGTGCAGGCCTTGGGTTTGATTAGCCAAAAACTCCCATACCGGTGTAAAGTTTGCACACTGACTGGGGGCGAGCTCTGCGCGCACCTTACACGTTACACCGGCCGCACAGCACATACACGCTACACGAGGCTCTATACGTACTGAGAGACGTACACGGTACACACGATGCACAACACGGTCGGCCCGGGCTAAAAGTGCCGCATGCGGTGCCGGAAGGCGGAGGCCTTGTGGCGGTACATCAAGCGGGACCGGCTCGATGCGGACGCGAGCAGGTCGGCGTCGCTCGCCACACGCGGCAGCCGCCGTGGGCGAAGGCCGTGCTGCGGAGCGAGCTGCCCGTCCGCCTGCTGCACCGCCGAACCTCCTCCTCCAAAGTCGATCGCCTGCGCCACTCCGTCCGCCTCGGGCGCCTGCTGGCTCTCGGCCGCAAGCTCCTCGAGCGCGACGAGCTTTGGTGGAGGAGAGACCGCGCCGCCGCCTCTCTGCCCAGTCGACCACCCGTCTGCTGCTCGGTCGCCCGCCCACTGCCCTGCCGGCCGCCCCATCCGCTCGAGATTCGGCGACGACTGGACGCGGCGCCGAAGAGAGCCGCGCCACGCGCCTCCCGCCGCGAAGCGCCGCTCCGACTCGCGCTTGAGCCACGCGGTGGCCCGCGGCAGCCCCTGCGCCGCGATGAACCTGCCCAGCCACGCGGGCGCCCACGCGCTCAGCGAGACTCGCGCCTGCGGGAGGCAGCGACGCGGGAAAACATGTTGGGTGTGCGGGGGTCGGAGGTGCGGGGTCGGGCTGCGGAATGTGGGGCTGACGCGTGGGGCGATGTGCGTGTGTCGCCGAGTAGTAGACGGCCGTTGAGTTTGGCCTCGCGGGCTCCTCGCGAAGCAGCCAGTGGCCAGTGTTCTGGACGAGGTCGGAGGGCTTCGAAGGGTCGAGGGTCCACGTGAGCTGGTTGTGGAGCCGATCGAGCACCTGGTGTGTGGGCGTGCGTTCATGTTCACAGGCGCGTCGCTAGAGAGCACTCGGAGTAAGGTCCCCGCACGTGGTGCACGTGAGACGTGATCTTCAGAAGGCCGACCCCGATCACCACGCGGACCTTGATGTCGGCGCCCGAGTCTACCGCCGTCGGGGGACGTGGCCGAGCGTGAGCGTGCAGCGGTGAGCGTGTGTGCGTGCGTAGGCCGTGTGGCGGGCGGCTGCACACTCTCGTACGTCGGCGGCAGTGACGTTGTCCACCATGGACGGCCAGGAGCCGAAGTCGAGCAGCGTCGCCCACACCAGCTCCGCCGGAGCCTCGATCATCACGGCCGCGAGACCCTCCTTCCCGTCGCCGCCCTGGCCAATCGACTTGAGCACTGTCTCGCCCCTGGCAAGCCTCTGCGCCTCCACGGCATTCAGGCGCGGCAGTGGCACCGCCAGAGACTGTTGGTGCTGCACGCGCAACGCAGTATCTGGTGTTTGGCTCGCGCAGGCTGGTGTGCTTCTCTCCAACGTCGCCAACTTGAGCTCGAGATGCCGCACTCGGAGCAACAGGGCTACGTTGAGGGCGCCAGAGAGCACGAGACCCAGCAGCGGGTTTTCTACGAGACACGGTAATGCTGCTGCGATCGCAAGCCCGATGGCAAGCTGGAGGCATATCGAACTGCTCGCCTCATTGACGCGTTCGCGCGACAGGCTCAGGCTCTCGCGTGAGACGATGAGTGGAAAGGAGGATTTCAGGTATAATTCATGTATGGGAGTATGCGAGTACAACACTGCTGAACTGAAATACACACGTATTTCCAGTCCAATCACAAGTACACATACTTTAATACTTGATTTTATCTCTTTCAGTGTGTGGGCGAAGTAGCGGAGTAACTGGGAGGCTGCGGCGCAATACGACGCAATATGGCAGTAGGCGCGGCACGCTAGGACGTATGCAGGTACGCCGGGCGCCTCCCACAGTATGGGTACTGGTGTACTGCATCATACTTGGGTATGTCGAGCCTTGGAGTATCGCAGTATCTCGGAAGCACCAGTGCAGTATCTGCCAGTATTCTCCAGTATTCTCCAGTATGGCCCAGTACAGCAGTATGAGGGGAGGCATCGGGCCAGACAGTGACACAGCAGGTAGCGCGCCTCTGGCTCAATTTTGCTCTTCTTGAAACCGGTGATGCTGCGCAGTTTTGCCAGGGCCGCCACTGTCCTCGTGTTTGATCCCGACCGAGTGCGCAACGTCGGGAAGCGACACATACGTAATGTGTGCATGTGCATGTGCACATCGAGGGGGAGAGGTGAGAAGCTGGCAGTAGCTCCAAAGTCGCAATCGTTGGCGTTGGAATGGGACGGCTCGAGCAAATGCATCAATCCCGCAGTGCCGAAGGTAGTGGTAACAGGATGTTGTACGGGGGTGCGCACGGCAAGAGTTCTCACGAATGCTGGTGCCGGCTGTAGCATGGCGCTGTGTCAGCACAGGAGTATGTCTGGCCAGGCAAGCTGAATGTGGACATCTCGTCCCCGTTCCTAAATGAATGAAGAGACCAAACTTTGGAGCCGCTCTTGTCCTGGGCAACGTCCTGTCGCGTTTGCCAGTCTGCGGTCGCGCTATCTACCAGCCTCGTTCGTTGCACCAAGACGGCAGCCGTGCGCACGAGGTATGTGCGTGAGTCGTTTTTGTGTGTGCGGTTCGGGAAACATGCGATTCAATGCGCAGTGGCGCGTCGCCTTTGCTGGAGAGTCGACGGCGGCCTCTCGAGTGGCAAGTCCTCAACATGAAAAAAACAAAAGAAGGAGGGAAGCAGAGTCTTCAATACCTAAATTTGGGGGGACGCACGAATATGAGGTTTGTGCGACACCTGCATTCGGTCGGCATGCTCGCCCTCGTGGCGGGCATGCCCCTGACCTACACCGACCCCTGGAATTGCGACTCGCCGCTTTCCTCCCGCTGTGATTCTGTGTGAGCTCTGTGTCTTGATTTGCCAACAATATACCTAATACACCGTGCGGGACTGTGGCACCAGGCGCGGTACACTGTATGACACTGGCTTCCTTCCAAGCACGTTGCAGACGGCTTGGGACAAATACAGCGGCGCGGTCGGCAACGTCCTGCCGCCCACCAGAAGCGACCACAAGCGGATTGTGTGGTCATCTGCTTGCGTGTGCGATGTGTTGTGGCGCAGATTGCGCTTGTGCGATGTGTTGTGGCGCAGATTGCGCTTGCGTCCCAAGCCATTGGCCTGGTGCAGCGCCAGCCCCCCGTTTTCTGATTCAGTCGCGCAGTCGGGGTCTTTTCTTTTTCCAGGCGCGGTCGGGCACTTGGGGTGCGGCGCGACTTGCACTAGTGCGCGTTCCGTGGGGCTTGGCGACAGAGCGATCGCCGTGCTGTGGATCATCGGGGCACAAATCCACAAAGGCCTCTCCTCCCTCCGCGTTGCGACGAGCTCAGCCACAAGTACGACGGTTGCGGACTGCGCATTCTGGGGACGGTGGACACAATCCATTGGTTCATCCCGTCTGGTGCGTCCCGTCCTAGCACCCCTGCTCGATCGCCGTGTTCCGCCACCACCCACGAGAGTCACATCTCATGAGTCACACCTCGCCACAGTCAAACTCGCATCAGTGGGAGTGGGAAGAGGCGGCGTGGTGGCTCTGCGTGTGCGTGGGCGCGCGCGCACCTGCAACCACAACCTGTTTGTGATGCCGCTGCAGGATAGGCCGGCCTCTTCAGGATGCCTCGTTGCCTCTTTAGGACTGCCCATCGACGAGCGCTGGATCAATCCATTGAGCAAGGACCGCCCAGCAGCAGTTGCAGTATGCGGCCGGCATTAAGCTAGCTAGCCCTTGCAAGGCCAGGTGCGCCGCCGAGCGCCGCTGCTAGCAGTTGCAACCTGGGAGTGTGAGTTCTGGCTCCGGGTGCTCTAGTGAGTCTGGCAGCCGAGTGGTAGATCCCGCCGCAGCACTGCACATGCACCAGTATGGAGCAGTATTCTCCAGTATTCTCCAGTATGCCCCAGTACAGCAGTACGGATGGAGCTGTGATGCAGTATCCAAGTATGATTACTTCGCCGTATTGGGATATGGTGCGCATGTGAGGTACAGCAGTAAGGGGAGGTATCTCATGCAGTATTGCAGTATGATGAGACTGCATGTCGCGTATCAGGCTGTACCCACGTACCGGTTGCGCTGGCTCGGTGTACGGGAGTGGGGATATCTGACCAAACTAGAGGAACGCATCAGGGCAGCTATGGCAATATTGGCGGCTATTCTTGCAATATTGTAGTACGACACAGACGCGGCGAGATAAAAATACCTCATATCTGAGATCCTTCTATCCACTGAGGTTCTCATGTCACAAAAAAAAGTACACGTGGTAATGTTTGTTCATCGGCGGGTAGGGTGCTTTTTGGGGTACCTCTCCTACAGCCACATTAGCGGCGCGCAAACATCAGTCCTCACCTCCCTCTCCCGCGCGCACGCATCGCAGCCAAACATAACACATCGCAAGTCGGGCCTCACCAACGAAGACATACGGGGCATGCACACGTACACGTAAACGCAATCAACCAGGGCGCGCCTTCGCTCTCGACGCTCAGCCTCGCGCCGGCTCGACAGCCTCTAAGCCACCGGCGCCTCGAAGCCGTGCTTGACAAACTTGCCCGCGTGGCCAGGCTTCATCCCCACGCCCTCCGCCACCGCCGCCCGCTCCGCCGCGTTCATCTGGAGCAGGTAGCCGAGGTCGTCGAACCTGCGTCTCGGGGTGATCTCGGGTGATCTCTGGTGATCTACGGTGATCTCGGGGTGATCTCTGGCGAGCTCGGGTGATCTCGGGCAAGTCTAGCGCCGCAGGTTGCACCCCTGCTCGTCGAACGCCGCCGCGTAGCGCTCCAGCCCGACGCCCTCGAGCGCTCGCTCGACGGCCGGCATGCCGAGGGGCGGGCGCGCCGCTGGTGGTGGAGCGGCCGGGGGCGGGGACGAGGCAGGCGGTGGTCCCGCCTAGAGGACGGGCTCCGAGAATTGGTCGGGGAAGAGGCGCCAGAGAGGCGCGCTTGCAGGCTCGACCCGCCGCCCGCCAGCGCCTCGTGTGAAGGGAAGCGCATCTCCGCGCCGGATCTCGGCGAATCTCGACTAATCTCGGCGGATCTCGCCTGCAGCTCGTGGAAGAGGTCCTCCAGCGGCACCGCCTCCTCCTCCTCGCCGTCCTCGTACGCCACGCCAAAGGTGCCTGTTCACAGCTGCAGGTGTGAACCGCGTCTCTTCACAGCTCGTACGCCACACGCCAGAGGTGCCGTCGTTGTTGACGGACGTCACCTCGCCGCGGTACCTGCACAAGAAAAGGGGAGGGGACGGTCAGGGAGGGGCGGGGCTCCCCCCTCTTGGCCCTCGGCGGCAGCGGCACCAGCGAGACACGTCCGAGAAGTAAACCGCCACCGCAGCGCCCTCGAATGCGTCGGCAGCGGTGAGCGGCCCGCCCGGCCGAGCCTCCTCCTCCTCCTCCCCCTCCTCCTCGCCCTCCCCCTCCTCCTCGCCCTCCGGCTCCGCCTGCCCCACCGCCCGCGCGTAGGCCACCGCCGCCTCGACCGCCGTGTCGAAGGTGCCGAGCGAGGCCGCCCGCCTGCCCACCTTGCGCTGCGCCTCGAAGCGGCCAGTACGCGGCTCGCGCACGCCCTTGTAGCCGGTGCTGTTGCTGCTCGAGAGGTGCAGCCGCAGCCCCTCCGCCTCCGCCGCCGGCTGCTGCAGCGCCTCGACGGCGGCGGGTGGCGTGGCGGGAGCCTTGGCGGGAGCCTTGGCGGGAGCCTTGGCGGTCGGTTTGGCGCGCGGCGCGGTGGTGGGTGCCAAGCCACCGCCAACGTACGTCTCGCCGGTCGGCATGCGGACGGGCACGCGCGAGCTGCGACGGGAGGCGGACTCCTTCCCCTCCTCCTCCCCCTCCTCCTCGTCCACCTCCTCGTCGTCCGCCTCCTCCCCGTCCACCTCCTCGTCGCCGTCGTCCGCACCCTCCTCCTCCTCCTCCTCCTCCTCCTCCTGCTCCTGCTCCTCCTCCTCCTCGCCCTCCTCTTCCTCCTCCTCCTCCTCCTCCGCCGCCGCCGCCGCCGCTGCCTCCGGCGGCGGCGTGCCGGGAGGCGTGCCGGGGGCCTCCCCTTCCTCCGCCTGTGCCTCCTCCTCCGACTCCGCCGCCGCGGCGCGCCGAACGCCCGCCTGCTCTTCGTTGACGTACGCGCTCTGCTTCTCGCTCCACGAGCACCCGTGCGGAGGTCTGCCTCTCGGTTTGGCGCCCCGCTTCGGCACCCCCTTCTTGGCGAGCTTCGACTTCTTGCTCCCCAACGGGCGGCCGCGCTTCTTCTCCCCGCCGCCTCGCTGCGCTGCTGCCGGCTCTGCCGCCTCCATCGATGCTGAAGACGCCTCGTCGTCGCGCGGCCGCTTCCGCGCCCTCACGTGCACGCGTGGCACCTGCTCCCAGCTGTCGCCGTCTTCGTACTCGAGGGAATACGTGCCGTCCGCCTGTTCAGAGCCGGAGGTGTGAAGAGGCGCTGCTCGCGGCAGGGCGGTCGGTCTGCGGCATCAGAGGCGCGTTGACGGCGCGGACGACGGCGCGGTACCACTTGTCGAGCACGCCGCCCGTCTTGCCCTCGTCGTCGGGGCCAAACTTGCCCAGCACCGCATCTCCGACTCCAAACTTCATGGCAGCCTCTGGCGGCGGCGCCGCCGCATGCTGCTGTGGCACCGCCTCCTGCGCGGCCGGCAGCAGCAGCTTCTCGGCGAACTCGAGCTGCGACTCGTCGCCCTGCAAAGAGGGCTCCGCCACGAAGCGAGCGGGCACCGAGCGGTGCCGCCCGCTGCTGCGCTGCGCGGAGTCTCGGCGGGCGGCGGCAGAAGCGACGTTCTCACCCGCCACGCCCGCCTCGCCCCCCTCGTTCTCCTCGCCCTCCTCGCCCTCCTCATCCGCCTCCCCCACTGCCCGCGCGTACGCCACCGCCGCCTCCACCGCTGAGCCGAAGGAGCCGAGGCTCCTTCCGCCCACCTTGTGCCGCGCATGGAAGCGGCCGGTACAGCGGGTGGTCTTCGACACGCCTGCGTACCCGGTGCTGCTACTGCTTGACAGGTGCAGGCGCAAGCCCTCCGCCTCCGCCACCGGCGCCTCGCCCACCTCCTCAGCCTGGGCACCCGCTGCGAAGGAACCGACGCCGCCAGAGCCAACCCAGTCGCCTCGGCGCGCCTCGCTATCGCTGATGAGCCACTTGCTCGCGATCGCGTGCGGCACCCAGTGCGAGTAGTTGTCCGAGCCGTACCTGAGCCAAATTTTGCCGCCGGCGCTGACGCTGCTGCATCGCGCCAGGTAGAACCCCGCCTCGACCTGGAAGAATGAGGTTGGCACGGCGAGGAATCGGCCCTTGAGGTCCACCGGAGTATTGGCGGCCAGCGCCAAGGCGTCCTCCAGCTCCTGCCGATCGAGGTCCTCTTCATCACCGTCGTCGTGACGCACGCGGTAGAGCGCCTCTTCTTGGCCGTCGGCCGGGGCCCACGCACTCACGACGCCTCCGACGTTAACGCCTTCAAAGCGGCGCGTGACTCGCTTGCCGATGTGCTCACAGCCGTGGTGGGCAAAGGCCATTTGCAATGTGATTGCCGTCCGGGGTTCGGGCTTTTGCGGGGTAAGGTATGGTGCGCCCCACCCCCGAGCCCCACCGCGCCAGCCGCCTTCCTGGTCACTGCGGCTCTAGGATGGTGGGAAGGCACGATCGTGGAGAATAATGAAGTCCAGCAGTGTGGTGCCACGGCACTGCCGTGCGTCGTGCTGTGCGAGCGAGTTGTTTCGACCTTCTCTCGGCTTTGTTGTGAAATTCGGTGTGGAAGTTCGTCCGTCGTTCGTCCCTCGGCGATGCTGGTTTACTCGCCATGCTGCTCATGGCAGTATTAGCGCGTCCGAGCCTCGACGTGTGGTACGGGCCCAACCCTTTTCAGCACACGACCAGCCTGCGCTCTGGACACAGTCGAGATCTGCGGGCGCGGCCTGACTTCTACCCCAACGTCTTGCAGCCAGCAATGAGCTGGCCTGATCTCGCCAAGCGCACGGGTGTCTTCAAGATCTTCCTGGACATGCTGTACACAGGCATCAGCACCGATGCTCAGCTGATTGGGCTGATCGGGGTGGTCCAGCAGCTAGGGCTGCGCACTGGCATCGAGGTCGGCGGTGCGAGGTGGGGCGCGGGCCGCTGCAATCTCACCACCGCCCTCGCCTACGCGACCATCGAGCAGCGAGATGTTGCCCGCTGGCTTTCGCTCGGTGGAAGGATCGACTCGCTGTCAACAGACCACGCCGACGTCTGGAACGTGCGTGGGGGTTCGGGCCCGCTCTGCGAGCCACCCATCCCGATGGCGGACCGCATCGAGGTGGTCGCTCAGGTGTTCGCAAGCTGGCGTCGCTTCCTTGGTGCGGAGGCGTCGCTGGGGTTCATCGAGTCGCTCGGCTTCTGGGACATCGAGGGGCCCGATGGCAAAAGCTACAAGAACACCGAGCCGGCCGTCTTCAGCAAGATCGATGGATGGATCCCGCGGCTGGAGGATGTAACGTCGAGGCTGCTGGACGCTGCGAAGCGGCACAACCCGGTGCCTGGGACGCCCCTGCTCGACCACTACCTGATCGACTATGGCCTCGAAGGGGTGGAGTACGACACGCACACGTACGGGCCTTCGCCCACCGGCGGGCTCAACTACGGCCGTGTACTTGGCGCCGAGGCCATCATGCACCGTCACGGGCTGCGCACCGGCGTGATGATGAACGCTTTTGCCGACCGCAGCCTCGATTGCTCGGCTGCATTCGCCAGATGCTCCGCGTCCGCGGCCTTGCGCACCCTGGAATACACGCAGGGGTACATGCGTCTGCCTAGCCGGCTAAGCGAACACGCGGTGCTCGAGCAGTGGCAGCCGCACCCGAACACCACGGGCCCCGCGTCCCTGCCGTACTCTGGCATGTGGATGGCGAGCGCTGGTGCAGCAGCTGTGAGGCCTTCGCTTGTGCCTTGAGTGAGACCCGTATCTAGATAGGATAGCGCCAGTTAAATTGAAAAAACTGTCAAGCCCGAAGTGGAGAGCGGAGACTCCTCGAGGGAGACTCCGCCAGAGCGTTATCCCTGGTGTGGACGGTTTTTTTCGCGGTATCCGCGGCGGGATATGGCGGGATATGGCGGGATATGGCGGGATATGGCGGGATACCGGGAGATACCGGGAGATACCGGGAGATACGAGATACGGGCGGATACGGGCAGATACGGGCAGATACGGGGAGATACGGGAAGATGCGATGAGATGCAAGGAGATACGGGGAGATACGGTCAGATATTGCAGAGATACATCAAGATACCGCAAAAAAACCGTCCGCACTAGGCTCTAGGGCTAGCGTTGGCCGTTGCAGACCCGACACAAACAATCTCTCTCTCTCTCTCTCCAGACCCGCCCCAAGCACACCTGGGGCCGTGTCTAACCACCTATCTCGACGGACGACGGTGTGCAAAGCGCCGACCCGCGCGGCGTGCCCTGTATGCTCAATATTCGGACGTTGTTTTTTTTCGGGCTCCTTGCACCAAATTGGGCGCGGGCTCGTGCGTCCTTGTGTTGTGCCTTTCTCTGATCAAGGATTCCGGCAGTCGTCCTGGTTGCGCTGCCGAGCCATGATCGCCGCGCGACCAGCGTCGCTCCGCCTGAGCGCCTCAAGCAGAGCGGCATGCGAAAGGGACGTTCCGCGCACCGCCGAGTCTGCCACCGCCGAGTCAAGGAAACGCCGCGCCCTGCGATCCTATGTCCTCTGTGGCGCAGTCAACGGCATGCTGGTGGGCGGTATCGGACCGTGCCTGGAGGATATCGGCGATGACACAGGGCTCGACGCCAAGGGACAAAGCATCCTGATCCTGACCAACAGGTTGGCCAAACTGTGCGGCCTGTTTGCGTGGACTGGCGTGGCGATACTAGTCCGGCGCTGCAAGGCGCGAGGCCAGCCGCCGACGATTGCGCCGCATCAGTTGCTGGCCATCAGCATGGCGATGGCGTGCGCCGCCAACTGTGCCCTCTATCAGGTGCGGTCGTCCGCAAGAGTGGTGCAGGCCGCCCTCGCCCTCTTGGGCGTCTCGTATGGCATCACTGACAGCGGCATGACCCTTCTGACAATGTGGGCCCTCACCGACGGAACCGCCCAGAGGACCGCCATCGCGATGCTGAACGCTGGGTTTTCCGTCGGGGCGACGCTCGCTCCTCTCTGCGTTGCGCTCTCCCTGAAAACCTTCGGCACGCCCTACCTCTCCTTTGCCGCCTCTGCCGGGCTCGCGCTGGCTGCAGCAATCGCGGTGCTCTGCTCAGGCTCCGCCGCCTCCACAATGGCCACTGTGCCGGTGTACAACAGCCGCTCGGTCGCCACCGAAAACCTCGCCGCCGCCACGCCCGGGCAGCCTGCGTACAGCCGACTGTTCATCGCCGGCATGTCGCTCGTTCTCTTCTTTGTGACGGGGACCGAGCACGCCGTCGGGACGTGGCTGCCATCTTTTGGTCACGCGGCGGGCGTGCCGCGCGAGATGATGGCCCTCGTCATCATGGGCTTCTGGCTCGGCATCCTCTGCGGCCGCCTCGCGTGGGCCGGCCTGTCGAGCAGGCTCTCCTCGGGCTGGCCGGTGCTCGCCGCCAGCCTGACGATCGTGGTGGCGTCCCTCGGGGTCGTCTGGTACTTTCTGGCCGCCGCGCCGGTGCCGCTTGCGGTCCTCTGGATCGGCACGATCGGCATATCGATCGGGTACGCGCCCGCGATCCCATGCAGCTACTCGCTGCCCGCCGAGGCGAGCGTGCAGAGCACTCCGCTCCGCGTGCTCAGCCTCAACCTCGGAGGCAGCGCGGGAGAGACGGCGGTGCCGGTCCTGCTCGGCCTCGTCTTCGAGGCCGGAGCGGGCGCCTTTGGGATGACGATCTTGCTGCCCGCCTTGGCCTTGCTCGTCCTCGGCCTCCTCTGGATCGTGGTGTATTGCGGGCGCGCCGAACGAGCTGGCGCCCACCACCCGGCGCCAGGGTCGTGGACCTGGTCAGCTTCAAAGAGCTGTGCGGTAATGCAGGAGCTGTCGAAGGCCAAGGGGCGGGAGGCGGCGATTGTCTGCTCGTCGGGAAGCTGCGACGCCGCCTCGAGCCAAGGCTTGGCGTTGAGCTTGCCAATCTGACGAGGCACAGGCAACGAGTCGGCAGGCTGACATCACTGTTTATTGTACGTCCATGTCCATGACTATCGTCTGTTGGAGGGCTCTCTGCGCGGTGAAGCGTCGGCGCGCACGGCTGGCTGTCTGGTGTCTCTCTCGCAGACATGCTGGCAGACGCCAGCCTCGCCAGGGACCCCGAGCGGATCCCCAGCCGCGTCGTGGTGCTCTCTCTCTCTCTGCTCTACTGCTGGCGTCTGGGTCGCGTCTCTCTCGCGCTCGGACGCTCAGCTGAGACAGGAGACACTCTTCTCTACGCTCGTGTAGCTACTCTAGCTTCTCCCCTCTCCCTCTCCCTCTCTCTCAAAAATGTACACATTTTGCGTCTATTTATTGAGATATTGTTGTTTACCCATCTCCTAGTAGAGGTGTCCGTTTTATTTATTTATTTTATTGATATTGTTTCGAGCTGCCGAAATTTCAGTATCGTGGAAATGTACATAACGTGCGGCTCTGATCACAGCCCACTCTGTCGTCTGTGCCAGGAAGGCAGGCGGGATGCCAGACCGTTGCTCGCGGCACTCACGCCTGAGCCGCACTCTCTTCATTTCAAGCGCGCCACTGCGATGCCGACGCTGACGGCCGCGGCCAAGAGCATGGTCGAGGCGCCGGCCAGGGTCAGCGCCGTTCTCCTCGCTCCGCGCAGGCGCACGCTCTCGAGCAGCCAGGCCGCGGACCGCGCCACCGGGCTCTGTGCCGAGGCGGTGAAGGCTCTCGCAAAGGCGGGCGGCGCACCCTCCCCGACCAGTGGCTGGCCCGCGGAGCTCGCGCGGAGCAGGTCCGAGAAGAAGGCGAGCGTCAGGCCCCAGAGCTCGTACTCCGACCGGCGAGGGTCCGAGGGCGGGAGCGGCGCCGCCGCCGCCGCGTGAGGGTCGCCGGCCGCGCCGGCGCCGGTCTCCGCAGCCGGCGGCGGGAGCGGGATCGCTGCAAAGAAGAGGGTGTCCAGGCGGAGAGCGCGCAACAGCGAGGCCGCGAGCGGGATGGTCGTGCGGAGGAGAGCGCTCGTGTCCACGGCCCTCCACTCTAGGTTGGCCGAGTGAATGACGGCGGTGTCGACCCACCAGGCGGCGGCGACTTCGGTCGGCTGCAGCGTCAGCGCGACGTGGGACTCGCCGCCCTCGGAGCGGGCCGCGAAGCCGTACATGGCCACCGCCAGCGACTTTGGCCCGCCTCCGGCGATCCGGTCCTCGACAAGCCGGCCAAGCCGTTCCCAGTGCGGCGTCCGCAGGTCGAGGCCAGTCTCCTCGAGCGTCTCGCGAATCGCAGTCGCCTCGTCATCGCCGCCGTCGGCCGCGTCCTGCCGGCCGCCGGGCAGAGCGACGTTGCCACTCCACGGGTCCCGAGGGTTGACGGCGCGCCGGATGAAGAGGACCTGCTCCCGCCCCTGGTGCGTGCGGAAGACGGCGGCGATGGCCGCTCTTCGGCCAGGCGAAGCGTCGCGCCGGCGACCGTGGACGCCGTTTCTCCGCAGCGCCTCGACGAATCGCATATTTTGGCTGGCTTCGGGTGGCCCGCGGAGCGGCTGCTGTCACCTCCCTCACCGTGCTGGCGGGCCGCGGATTTTTCTTTTTCGTTTTTCTTTGTTTTTTCCTGTTGGCACCAGTCGCCTCCCGAGTCGTTTCGTCTTTTTTCTTTTTGAATTTTGGCGGCTCTTTCCTGGAAGCTCTGGTTCCCCACACCACACTGCACCCGGCAGACGGGATGCTGCGGCTTGCTGCCCTGCTGCTTTCGCACTGCGCACTTGCGAGCGCAGAGTACGCCATCGTCAACATGATTCGCCACGGAGAGCGCTTTTCTGACAAGAGCAACATCCATCTCGCGCCCGCTGGGTTTCAGCGTGCCGAGTACATTGCAAAATGCGTGAGCAACGCCACGTTTACGATGGCCTTTCCGCTGGGTCCGCCGGACCGGCTGGTTGCATCTGTGCGGCCGCCAAATGCGCACGGAGAGGATGAGTCTGTCCGCCCGCTCGAGACGCTTACGCCGTTGTCGCGAGCGCTGTCTTTGCCAGTCGAGAACACGTTGCGCTACACAAACGTCGATGGATTCGTGGACCGTCTGCAGAAGCTGGCCGCAGGCGAGACCATGTGCGTCGCGTGGCAGCACAGCTTTCTGGACTCGTTTGTCCGCAGATTGGGTTTGGAGGGCCTGGCGCCCGCCTCGTGGCCGCGCTCCTGCAACTACACCGGCCCGTGGGCTGAGCCCGACTATGCGATGGACGTGACCGAGGGCAACTGCTACGACCTCATCTGGCAGCTCCTCCTCTTCCGGGAGGGGCCGGCGCACAGGTGGCGCAGCACAGCCTTCTCGCAGATGCACATGGGCTTCCGGGGAGCCGGGGACGGCCCGTGTGTCGAGGCCTTCTCCCCAGGCTCTGCACCGGGCATGTGGGGTCGTGCGGCTCCAATCGCGGCCGCCGCCGATAGCACGCCTCGCCACGCGTTGTCGCCCGCCCCGGTGGTTTTTCGGTGGGTGGCGGGGTGGGTGGTGGGGCTTGGCGGGGCTGCGATGGCGTTGATAGCAGTGGCTCGGCGTGGCTGCAAGACGATGGCGTGGCGGTCGGGGAAGACTGTTCGGATCGTCAATGAGGCGGAGTCTTCAGAGGCTCCCTACCACGCGGTTACGTAGGAGCAACAACAAACAAAACTCGTGGGAGCAGCCGCACGGACGCGCACGTTGAGTAGAAGTTAGAGCTAGGTGTTAGCTACATTGGGGGGGGCACTTCGAGCACTTGTCTCTTGTGATCTGTGATCTGTGAGGGTCCGCCCGCAGGCGCATTTTGTATACCGAGGCGGTGCCCGGTGCCGAGCGCAGGCCGGAGCCCACAGGTCGGACCTTGAGACAGCATTGTAGATCCCTGGGCGAGAGGGTGGTGGAGAGAGGGCGGTCCGTCGGCGCCAAACCACCTCCGGACCGAGGGAGAGTGCAGTCGGTAACCTGTCTCTTGTGGAGAGTGCAGTCGGTAACCTCACGTGTGTGTATGCGACGTCATGTCAAAGGCACTCTCTCTGAATCCAATCCCATGCGGTAACGACCACGTGTGTGTGTTCACATTCTCATCCAGCGGCGAAGGCGCGCACCAAACTTTCAACAAAGGCCCCAAATGACGTGTGAGTGTTAGAGTTGTTTGGTATTGCTAAAAATCTCTCTCTCTCCAAACTTTTGGAGCAAGCACTTGGAGTGCAGTCGGTAACCTCACATGTGTGTTCACATTCACCGATTCAGCGGGCGAGGCGCGCACTTGGAGCACTTGGAGTGCAGTCGGTAACCTCACATTCGAGAAAGAAAAGAAAGAAAACAGACAACCTCATATTCGTTCACCCGCTCTGTAATTCTTTTTGGAGCGCAAGCATTTTGGAATTCTTTGCTGCTGGCGCCGACCCAGGCCTACCCCGCTGCGCGACATATATGCTCCGCGTGGCCCTCCTCGCCGCCCTCGCCGGGCGGTCGAGCGGGGACTACTACTCGGACATGGGCCTCCGGCGTGACGCGAGCGCCTCCGCCATCAAGAGCGCGTACCGCGAGGCGGCAAAGCGGGACCACCCAGACAAGAACCCGGGAGACCCGGACGCGGCAGAGCGCTTCCGACGCGTGGCGCGGGCGTACGAGACGCTGGGCGACGCGGAAAAGCGACGCCTGTACGACGTCTACGGGGAGGACTACGAGCGCGAGCAGCAGCGCCAGGCGCAGCAGCAGGCGTTCCGGCAGCGGCAGGAGGACTTCTTTGGCTTCGGCGGGCGGCGCGGCGGGCGGCGGGCGGCGCCGCCCATCTTCTCGTCGACGGCGTGGCTGGGCGCCGAGTCGTACCGCGACCTCGTCGAGGACAGCGGCGAGTCGTGGCTCGTCCAGTTTTACCACGACTGGTCGGAGCCGTGCAAAGACTTTGCGCCTCGCTGGGAGGCGCTGGCGGCCAAGCTGCCGCCGATGGTGCGGCTGGGGCGGGTCAACGTGGACCAGAACTTCGGCCTCGTCCAGCGGTACCGCTCCTTCGTCCGCTGCCGCCAGACCGTGCTCTCGGTCGAGTGCACCGTGCCAGCGCTGGTGCTGGTGACGCGCGGTGAGCAGCCAGTAGTAGCAGCAGGCAGCAGTTGCAGCAGGCCCCGCAGCAGTTGCAGCAGGCAGCAGTTGCAGCAGGCAGCAGTTGCAGCAGGCAGCAGTTGCGGGGCAGACATTGCCTCGCGAGCCGGAGGAGGGCAGCAGCAGTGCAGCCGCCAGTACGCCGCGCGCACTCCCCTGCCCTCTGGGAGGGAGAGAGAGAGGGAGGGAGGGAGGGAGGGAGGGAGGGAGGGAGGGAGGGAGGGAGGGAGAGAGAGAGAGAGAGAGAGAGAGAGCTAGCTGCGGCGGCGGGGCAGGCTCGGCTGGGAGAGAGGGGGCGAATGCCGACCCCTGCCTCCTAGCCGATGCTGTACCGTCGCCGGAGCTTGCCCTTTCCCTTCC